TTAATTAATTAACATGTTTCAACCTTCTTTGCATTTTGAGTATGGATAAATCACATACGCATGCGAATTACGCGTGTAAGTTCTACTCCAAATTTAGAAAAGTGATCATTTGTCTTGATCCTATCTTCTTGTACGAAAAATGTAACTCATTGTTAATCGACAGATATCACTCATGAACATTAAAGTATTCACCGTTCTAGTAAAGTATAATTGTCCTAATCAAGTATAATTAACAGATATCAAGTTCCAATAGTATAATTGGTTCAAGTTCCAAAGTATAATTAACAGATTTCATTCATGAACATTAAAATATTCATTGTTCCAGTAAAGTAATAAACAAGACAAAATATATCAGTGAGATAATATACAAATATATAAATATAGTATAAGTATAGTATAATAAATAAGATAAAATATAGTATAAGTATAGTATAAATATAGTATAAGTATAGTATAATAAATAAGATATAAGTATAGTATAATAAATATAATATAGTATAAATATAGTATAAGTATAGTATAATAAATAAGATATAAGTATAGTATAATAAATATAATATAGTATAAATATAGTATAAGTATAGTATAATAAATAAGATATAAGTATAGTATAATAAATATAATATAGTATAAATATAGTATAAGTATAGTATAATAAATAAGATATAAGTATAGTATAATAAATATAATATAGTATAAATATAGTATAAGTATAGTATAATAAATAAGATAAAAAGACCAAAGCCGTTTATGAGAGATGGATAGTAGCACCTACACAAATCTTTTTGTGCACCAATATAAATCTTCGCGTTTCCTTCGTGAATTGTAAATAATGCGGTGCTGTTTTCAACGTGCAAGGAAAGCCAGAAATCAGGCTTCAATGATGATTCAAAGACCGTAACGGACGGCAGCAGGTAGGCGAAACCATAACGATTCCGAGTAACGCAAAGTTGCATGGCGCTGCTACTTTCGCTGCCGCCACGGTTATTTGTGTATACATAGATGCGTTCAGGTGAAACGCACAGATGCGCCGACATATAAATAGGAGAGAGTGCGACACGCCACGGCTACGGCATAGAGCATCTAACCACGACTTCATTCCTCACGCGGCGCGGCGCGAATCGATAAACGGCGACCATCACGCAACACACGAACCCATCCTCCACTGCCATTTACCAACCACCACGACCTACAACGGCTGCAACGTTCCCCCGGATCGTACGGCATCTATACGCTGCACGACGTGTTATGATTAAAGCGGGCCGGAGCTCCTGGTACATCGGCACATTCGATAATAACGTAACCATCGACTAACGACAGAATAGATACGACGTTGCAATGCTTTCTCACGTGTCCCACGTTCCGAAGATCACTTGACCCCCTTTTACCATTTTCGTGTCACGCGCGATATTATCGGCCCAACGGTGGCAGTGCTCTTTATGCACACAATTTACTTTTGAACGATGTATTCACGTGTTCAGAGTTCATAAACGACGAAATAATTAACGTGTAAATCTTAACTTCATCTTGGTTGAAGAAATTCTAATGTAAATTTAATGAAGACTGTTATGCCTGTCTAATGGAAAAACAACTTCAACTATGTCTCACGTCAAAGTTAACTAAGTCTTCCTAATTTGATTTCTGGATAAAATAAGCAGCAAAAATATTGTGAATTTCGTCCTCTTGGAGAATTTCACGGCAATTTATAATAAAAATAGTAAAAACAATCATCAGCGATCATTTGTAACATTAAAACATAGTTCTCTGTGCAAATTGAACATTCAATCAAAAGGTTTAATTCACAACGCGGAATCTAGATTATTTTGCAGCTCTAATACAAACTGCAATTCATTTATCAAAACAGTAATAAAAAATTGCAATTTGCCAAATATAATAATATATGATGCCAAAGAAAAAATACTACACTATATACCATAAATACTGAAAACGAGCATAGTGACAAAATAATAACAAGAGGGATTTCCCATGCCTTGGATGGATTTTCCACCCAAAGGATAATAAATCGTTAGTTGTAGCCCTCTTCTATTTTAAGGCAATTTTTACCTAATCTCTTTAACCTTTTCTTTCTTTGATTTAAACATAGGGTCAAGATTGCCTAATTGAAAAAAAAGTTGTGAAATTAAGCATTAACAAGCAACAATCATAACGATCATTGCCACAATCAGAATCAAAAAAATTTGAAAAATCGATGGGGAAAGCCAAAAACGAGTCACGAGTCAATGCACATGTTATAATGTTAGTGATGTGCAATACTTATCCTGATTTAATAAATAAAACACAGATAAGAAAATAATTACCATAGTCACTATGCTTAAAAGTTTTATATAATATAACCAGTCATCCTTGTCGAGTCGGACTTTTCGTCCTACGATTAGGCGACCAGAAAGACAAAAATACATGCGACTCACAATTAAATGCGAAGACTGTTGTCATCGATCTGTAGTGGCCCAGGATCATTGTGAAGTTCATCGTCAAATAAGAATCCCATGGAAACAATCTGTATCAAAATATAAACCATCATAATTTCTTCTTAAACAGAGGACTTCTTCTTATTAAAATTATTGGATTCTTATTAAAATTATTTGGCAAGTTTGAAATAATAAAAGATTAAATATAAAATTTTAATGACTGAATTCAAAAACAAAAAGTTTAAACTTATTAAATTTTTAATCAGATTTTATTTTCTAACTAATAATAATTAATATAAAATAAAAGAAACTGAATTCAATAATATAAAATGCAATGTCACTTACAAGCACCATTAGATTCTTTCCAGGGAACAGGAAGAAGAAAGACTGAAAAACCGTTGATAAAATATACCTAAATTTAAAAATTAAAATAATGATAAATAATATACAAAATAACAATATAAGAAATAATAATAAAAAAAAATAAAATAATAATAAAATATACAGAAATACTTACATTCCTGTATTTCAGGACAGGTTACATTCTCTTGTGAGATCTTAGGGTGATCAGAAACAAATATTTAAAAAAAAAACACATCTGCAAAAGAAAGAATAATTAGAACAATTAGAAATATTATTATTCATTACAAAATGTCTAATATTCTCAAATATTAGTAAATTATTCCGTAATACAACCAATTTGTAACATTGAAACCGTTATTAAAGTATCAAATATGGTCTCGTATTAATCAAATATGGCGCGCTTTTTTTGTTCGTAACGAAGCTGCGCAGTGCACAAACGACGCGATGCGCAGAACATATTCAAACCGTCAATGATAACGTCTTTTTTCAAAAAATTGTCCAAGACTGTATAAATACGAATTAAATACTAAATAAATGTTATTAATTATCCAATCGAAAGAAAAAACAAACACAAAACAAATAAATCTTACTGTATCGTAGCAGCATCCTTTCAAACTTCGCTTGATGCCTCAAAATTAGCCAATAATCTGTACAAAAGAAAACCAAAACTTTCAAATAGACGTATAAAAGGAACAAATTAAAATACAATAATCGAGATAAAATTTCATTTTGAAAACTCACAATACAAACTACCGATATGACAGCCATAAAAACGATCACATACACATATACACGACAGCCATAATTTAGTTACAAATAATAATAATAATACACGATAGATAATGAAGTAAAAAACGTACATTAATTATACGAAGGTAATAGTAATGATGATAGAACAACGACGAAAGTATTATAATTAATAAACGTCACGACGTAGAAAGACGCGTCTTGACACCCCGATTGTCAAGAATAGACTAACCGTCGCGCAACAAGTTCGCGTCGCGAATTTGGTATAGTAAAGTTTCAAACGTACACGAACAGGCTTCAAGTGATTATAAACACACAAAATGAGATATGAATAAATATATATATTATTATGTCTACGTAGGCTAATTTAATTTGCTTCTGTTGATTCGAATCAAATTTTTCACGTGGCAAATATAGAAAAATACTTTTTTCGTACATACTACACGAAATATAATTGCATTATTCCAGTGGAAATTTAAATTGCGTATTATATCAATTTTATAAAAATTTTCATGCTTCGTTACTTATTTCAATACATATTTCCTTACGAACGTATTCACGAAAATATTTATGAGGAAACTTTTATGAACATACATACGGGCATATATGTATGCATGTATACTATATCCATTCCTAACCAACATCGGTGATTGAATTAAATATACGAATGTACGTACGTAATAACGCTTTTAATTAGTACTCACTACTCTAAATCGCAAACGCATTTAATAATTAAAAGGCAAATATAAACACTATTGATTATAATCTTTGCCTGACAACTGATTCTTCTTTTTTCTTTCACTGTGCTTCCCGCCTAAAACGTTAACGGTTCCGCGTTACCCGTCAATACTATAGATTATAGATCGACCACGAGAAATATCAATTATACATACATTATACATATTTTAATTCTGGGTTTTACCGTTTCATTGGCGCTGTAATCTTTGCCCAAAGCTAATAAGATCATTGCACATGTATGTACGAAAATATATCGTCCAAACTGAAACAAGTAAAAACTTTCTCGTCTATTGAATAAGACAATTGATTTAACAGTTTATCCATAATTTCGTTATAATTTCTTTATCTAAGTCAAATAAACGTAGCAACTTAATTTTAAATTTCATTAATTGAATGAATATAACCTATTTAATTCGGTAGTAATGAAGCTTCTTGACAATAAAAGAAACAGATTCACGACAGATTCACAAAAGAAGATGCAGAGATTCTGAAAACCCGAGAAATATCTAAGGAGAAACGTGATTATTCTAGATCGTGAATACGAATCATTTGCATTTACACAACAGTTGCACAGTACTTACACACAATCGCTGCTTCATTGCAATTCGTTGCAACGTGCAACATGCACACTCTCATTTGTATTTGTTAAATTTCTAAACGAAAACGACGAAGCGATTCGTTGCATTGAGAAATTGGGGGAAGAACGTGGTTCATCCTGCTGAGAAGGATAGATCTTCGCCGAAAGAAGATCGAATGATGTTCCACGACAAGGAGAGATGGTCGAAAGTTTGGCGCGAAAACGAAGTGCGCATGTAGGAGAAGTGGCGGACTAGATGGAGCTGGCGGCGCAGTGAAAACAGAAACCCAAACCGGTCATGGAGGCTAGTTAACGACTGTGCGCCGCGCTTACGAACAGTAATTTCACCAGGAAATCGTGATATTTACGCAGACGGCGGATAATCAACAGAGGATTTGCCGGTTTGAACGAAAATGGGTGCATACTTGTCGGAACCGATAACGAAGAAAGTGTCGAGCGACGAAGTGGGCAAGAATGTCGCGTTCGGCGCGAGTTCCATGCAAGGCTGGCGAATTAGTCAAGAGGTAAGCGAAAACTCTCGAGCGGCCAGTGCACCGTTATCCAGTTTCGTTTCAGTCAGAGAACGGTCTCGGCCGGCTCACCCTCTCGCCACAGCATTGCAACGTTCATCTTGATCTATCGCAAACGCAATCCATCTTACGCGTCGAAGCGCGAAATTCAGTCTATGTATCTCGATTCGAGAACGACAAGTACCGAGTGTGCTTCGACGTTTCCCTTGTGAACAAAACAGCACATATTGCGGAATTAGGAGTATTCGTTGCCGTGTGGGTTCGACCACACGTCCCGGAATGAAAGTTCGATCTACCCCACGATGTTGCAATCGTTAATATAATTATTAAACTTGCTGTGAAAGTATACGTTATCTGCATATTTATTGGGATAATTTTTTAAGCAACTAATCTATAATTTTTACACAATGTTTTATAAGAAATTAAGTCTTATGTATTTCTATTTGTAAAGTGATACAATTTATCTGTATATAATTCTTTAATATGTTCTGACAAGTTGAAAGTATATTTTTTTATTAATAATTTGCATATAGCAACAAGTAACCTTGTTTGTTAAAACATTGATTACATGTGAGGAGTGAAACAAATCTTTCAAAAAGATTTTTAAACATCCTGAGATTTCTTGAGATTCAAATTTAAGTACATGGATTATATATGCATTTGAATAAAACATACAATTGTTTGTTTATAGGATGCACATAACTGTTGCATAGATTTCGACGAAAACGTTTCGCTATTTGCCGTGTATGATGGGCATGGTGGTCATGAGGTAGCAACATATTGTGCACGTAATCTGCCAGATTTTATTAAACAAACTGATGCGTACAAAAAAGGAGACATTAGACAAGCTCTGCTCGATGCTTTCTTAGGCTTTGATGCCACACTTGAAAAACCTGAGGTAGTTAGTATTCTTAAAGAACTTGCTGGAACATCTACTTCAGATAAGAAAAAAGATGATTTAAATGAATCTGGTACGTTTCTCTTTGTACTAAAATTTCTTGAAATATATTTTTATATGAATTACATCTATGTAAATATTAAACCGATAATTATAACATTTTATAATTATTAGTATTGTTTCATCTATTTCTTTGTACAAAAACATATTTAATAAAGTTGTTTTTGTACATTATATTACACATAGATGAAGAAGAAAATGTTAATAACCTATGTATGGAGGCAACGATGCCATTGGAAGAAGTAATGGCAAAATATCAATCAGAATCGAATCCTACTATAAAAAATTTGAAAAACGAAAAATGCAATAAACGAGCATGTTCTGCAAGTCCTTATTTACGTGGTCGAAGAGGTAAAGAGAAAGCATGCTCTTCGTCATCTGGTGCAGGATGTTCATCATCTTCATCTTCGTGGAATACAAATGAAACTGATGTGAGTAGTTCCAGCCAACCATGTGGATCAACTTTGTCTAGTATAACAGAGAGGAAAGAATCGGAATGTCCTGGAAACAATGAAGCTGAACAAGTTCTTGATTCAACTACAAGTAATGGAAATGCACATGTATCTGTGCCAGTAGGATCAACAGCAGATGTGGAAGGGACAAAAAGTGCAGATATGCCCGATAGCTCTGAAGATGTAAACACAAAAGTTACGAGTCCTGGTAAAATTACATGCACAGAATTAAATGCAAATGAGGCAGAATTGAATGGTGCAGAGTCAAAGCGAATTGGAGATGCAGATAGTAGTAAAGGTGGGGGTGATAATGTATCAAGCAGTTCTTGTACTCCAGTTGAAAACGGAGATGCAGAACAGCAAGAACGTATAACCAGTACTGGTAGAAGAAGAATTCAACCTGTGACTCTATATCATACTCTTCTAAAAAAAGACAATGAAGATTCCGAGGATGATGATGACGATGAAAATGATGAAACATTTGATGGTGTTCCAGAAAGGTAGACAACTTAATAAAATATTTGTATATGAAACTACGATCATCAATACACTGCACTCTTGTCATACAGTTTTAGCGATGAAGATGACATAGAAGATATGGATGAAGATGAAAGTGAAGAAGATGAAGACGAAGACGAAGATGAAGATGAAGATGGGGATGCTAATATCGACGATGATGATGACGACAGTGAAAGTCTTATGATGGATACAGAAGAGGTATGATGGCTTTTTTATAGAATATATCCTACCATTTGCGCGACAAGCTATAACTATATTGAAATAAATGTGCGTCATTAAATTTATACAGCCAGGTTATGATAGTGGATGTACTGCAGTGGTTGCAGTTTTAAAGGGCAATGAATTGTATGTAGCAAATGCTGGAGATTCTCGCTGTGTGTTATGCAGAGATGGTCACGCTATAGAGCTTAGTTTAGATCACAAGCCTGAAGATGAGCCAGAAATGGAGCGTATAGTAAAAGCTGGTGGGAAAGTAACAGCTGATGGTAGAGTAAATGGTGGCCTTAATTTGTCAAGGGCACTTGGGGACCATGCTTACAAACAAAATGTTGATTTATCACCGCAAGAGCAAATGATCTCTGCACTTCCTGATGTGAGGCATATCACAATTGAACCAGAAAAAGATGAATTTATGATACTTGCTTGTGATGGTATTTGGAATTTTATGTCGAGTCAAGACGTTGTACAATTTATTCGTGCTCGTTTGGCACAAAATTGTGAAAAACTATCAAAGATCTGTGAAGAGGTAATAAAATATACTCCATTATTTTTTTCCATACTTTCACTTGAAATACATATTATATTTACTAATTAAAGTATTTCATTATAGTTATTTGATCATTGTCTTGCACCTGATACCTGTGGAGATGGTACAGGATGCGATAATATGACAGCTGTAATAGTTCGATTTAAGTCATCGGCTGATACTATAACGAATAGTACTGTTGCCGAAATACGTACTGCTAAAAGATCAGTATCGCCACCTGTAACCACAGAAGAGAATATTATACAGGAAGATACAACGAAATCTTGTAAACGTCTCAAAACTGAAACGACTATGTGAGAAACGTGTTAAATATGTACTATGAACTGTTATAATCTCTGGAAACAGATGAGTAAATGTGAATTTATGTAAAATTATGTAATTCTATAGAACTGTGAATTTCGAGCGGATACTCAATGATGATCGATACCAGTTACTTCAAATATCTTGTAAAGTATGTTAGTACTGGCTATTGGTGGCAGACTGATCAATTGGAGCATATGGGGATGATATTTTGTTGCTAACGTTTCGACATTTTAGAAATTAATTTAATACGAATAAATTGATATTATTTTTTTTTTCCTTAATTTGAAAACAGTTGATTTTTCGCTACATTTTGCTGAAATTTTCTTTTCGCTGTATAATGTATTATACGCTCTAAAGTTTTGATAATGTCATGTACAAAATATATAAGACAGTCTTATAAACATTCTGTACAATTGACGAAATAATAAATATTTCACTTTACAAGTACTTTCTATGATAATGATAAGATAGATGGTAAGTATAAATAAATATAAATAAAATCACTCTAAAATCATTTATTAAGTCAAAGCCTTGTAAGATTTTACAAATAGTATAAGACATCGTATAATTAAAAATTAAAAATAAATTTTTTAAATGACTTTCAATATTCTGACTTAACAGTTTTTATCTTTCTATGAAACAAAATTGAATTATACACATCATCCCATTTGCTCCATTAAAATCTATGAAATATACTCTTTGAGTTTTTAGATAACATCCATAGTGGATATGTAATTGTATATATTTATAAATTTAGGCTATAGGATTTATACTTGTAATTCAACACGATACCATTTCTTATTTTTACGAAATAAAGTTTATTTTTGAATCCCTGGGTATAGTGGTTGAATGGATGGGTGTGCGAGTAGTCTCAAAATGTGTAAACTGTATTGCGTAATAACGTCAGTTGCATATTACGCATCGCTAATTTGTGATCTTACACTAAAAAATTATTGTTAAAAGGGTATGTACTATGTTATGGAATATTGTCTACTTAAAATGTTTAACATTTTTTTTAAATATCTGACAGTAATTTATGATGACATGAAAATAATATTTAAAAAAAAGAACAATAAAATTATAGATTAAATTTAAATATAAAAACATTTTAGAAATTAATGAGATATGTATTAAAAATAATCTAATTTATCATAAAAAAAATATGTAAAAAGTGAAGATGAAAAAGATATTTAAATTATTTATATGTTTTTAAGAAATACATACTTTATTTTAATGCAAATTATTGAATTCTTTTTCTATATAGTTACAGTATATAAGCGAAGAATGTTTTTAACAACTGTGGAAACATAACTTTATAAGTTTTTTTATCTTACAATCATAATTTCATTATCACTATTTTCACCATAACATGAACATACGTTAGGAACAACGATCGGCTATTCACAAAACATACAAAGTTTATATTCGATAAACTAATATAGATGTTAGATAAATAATTAATATAAATTGATCATCTGCGCTGTATTTAAGATTGCTTTAAGTTTTATATTGTAATACATCATTCGCAACTGCTCATATGTAAGTGCGGCTGTTAGCAGACAGTAATTATATAACAGTTCACACGTTCGCACGAAGAAAGAAAAGCAATCGTAATTTTTACGGAAAAGAACAAGTAATATTATTGTCCAAATAATTAGTAGTATATTAGAGACAGTATGTAGAATGATTCAGAATTAACTAATGTGCCTTTCTGATTCAGGGGTTGAAAACCTTCGAAACAAGTGTGTATATTTGATGCCGTCTTATGAAGAAGGGTTTAAACCCCAATACCGTCTTAACTGCAAACTTTGTCATGAACTTATGTATAAATATCTTGTTTCATAATATATGTCGCTCTAACTATCATTAGTCATTTCATTTATTCTCCTTCTTGTTTACGTGAACATTTAAATTTTGACGCAAGGAAAGTACGGACGTACTTGGCCGAGTATCAATCCTCGTTGCAAAATCAGCCCTTTAATTCACTGTTAATTGTTCAATAGTTTCCAGCTGTTCCATTTCGATCTTCTTTAGCGAATCATATTGTATACGAAGTCTCTCGAGTTCCATAGATTTTTCAATGATCTGCGCCTGGAATTTGAAAATGTTTTCAAATTGGTTTACATCTATTCGAATACATAAATTTTACATAATCTTGCAAAGAGATAAGATTTATCTCACTTAATTATACATAACAAATAATCATAACCATGAAATGTTTTAATTTTCAAACGACCTGAATTTGTTGTTTCTGGGCATCTCTTTCTTTTGCGACAGAGCGGAGCAAGTTCCGGGTTCCAATAGTTCTCATCTTTTCCTTTTCCACCTCATTTGCCAATTGATCTATTAGCTGTATAAATTCATCGGAATTCGTTTGAAACTCGACGATCTCTGGAAAATAAAGAACAACATCGAGTGAAAGAGAAAAACGATTCTAAGAGATACGTATGAAAGAAATATTCAAGCAATCAGTACAAAGTATGTTATTTTAAATATTATATTTAAACATAAGTTATCAGAGATATTTTCGACAACGTAACTTTTTCGAAATGAATTAAAAGAAACACGCTTGTGTGTATAATAATGAGGAAACGAACAAATGTATTTAATTTAATAATTAATTACATACATCGAGTTTCTTATTATTCTGGCAAATGGTGCTTTTAAAATACCGATCAAAAACACATCTGAGGCGGTAATATAGATGGCAGCAATTACTATAGGGAAGAATGTACGGGCATTTGTTTTGCACAAGAGAGCATAGTTAACAATCGCTAAATGCACAAGCGATAAAAAAAAATAACGGGGTGAGTTGACTTGAAAATTCTTTAATCTCTTCGTTCGAATCGCATATACGTATATGAAAGAGGTAAGTGTATACTTTGTGCAATTGTGACGATTTCTCAATGAAACTCACTCGAAATGAAATTCTGGCATTCCTCTTTGAGCTTATTCGTCTGATTCCCAACCTCCGGTTCCAACACGCGAATCTTGCTCAAATCGTCAATATAAATTCCATACTTTGCCAAAGGATCAGCCATTTTCTTTAATAAACAAATGATCAACTCTTAGACAGCTGCGCCTGCGCGTATCTAGTGCCAGTCTTCGTTTCTTCATGTCTAGTACTAGTCACTGGCCAAAATGGGAATGCGATAGGGTATATGTTTCTTCTCTTTTTTTTTTTGCCGAATCGTAAAACACGAAGTAGTAGTGAATCGTGTTTTATTCAACGAGATTTCAATGTTTAAAACGAGACCAATAAATGCCACGTAAAACGTCTTTGCATTGGTTATCCGTTCATCGTTGCGTTAGCGCCCGAGAGACGCAACGCTTTATTCTTTCTCCGTTGTATTTTACATTTAGCATTTAAAAACTTGAATCCGATTGTTCGTTAACTTTCAACGATCTGTTGCGTCGTCATTGTCGTTCGTTATGTCCGGAAATCACAAAGCAATCAAATACCCTTCTGAATATGTGAAGCTCAATATCGGCGGTTCTTTACATTATACCACTTTAGGAACACTCCAAAAACATGACACTATGTTACGTGCTATGTTTAGTGGCCGCATGGAAGTTCTTAGAGATCCCGAAGGTGACGTTTCACATTATTGTTAAAATTCGACGTGCTAGTGACATTACATTCTGCTCATTTCGCACGTTCAATCAATGTTCTTGCAACTTCATAAAAATTCATATTTGAAATCCTGCAATGTAGGATCATAGTTTCATTTGTGAAAATTTCATTCAGTGTCTCTTACTTGCATGCACGTCATTAGAAACACGATTACTGTTTTCTCGTTTTGCTTAAAAAATATAAATGTGATTTACAGGTTGGATACTGATAGACAGGTGTGGAAAGCATTTTGGAACAATCTTAAATTTCTTAAGGGACGGTTCAGTTCCATTACCAGAAAGCACCAGAGAAATGGCAGAATTACTTGCGGAAGCAAAATATTATTGCATTACTGAATTAGCTCAATCCTGCGAACAAGCTCTTCTTCGAAAAGAGAGGGAAGCAGAACCAATTTGTAGAATTCCACTTATCACTTCTCCAAAAGAAGAACAATTACTAATTAACAGTACTACTAAACCAGTAGTAAAGTTGCTTGTTAATAGGCATAATAACAAATATTCATATACAAGGTGATAATATCTGTTTCTTAAGAAATTGCAATATGCAATGAAACAAAGAATAAATAAATATAAAAAGCCTTGTCTTTACAGTACATCAGATGACAATCTCTTAAAAAACATAGAATTATTCGACAAAATGTCCCTTAGATTTGGTCGTAGAGTATTATTTATTAAAGATGTGATTGGCTCCAGTGAGATTTGCTGTTGGACATTTTATGGTCATGGTCGCAAAGTTGCAGAAGTTTGTTGCCACTCCATCGTTTATGCAACTGACAAGAAACACACAAAGGTAATGTAATGTGTATACATATATTGTATATATTTTGATTTTGAAGAAATTATATACAATATATAACGTGAAATAACAACCAATTATAACCAATTATAACCAATATAAAGAGAGCAAAATAAAGATTTAATTTTTAATACATAGGTTGAGTTTCCAGAGGCTAGAATTTATGAAGAAACATTAAATATTTTATTATATGAACATCGAAATGGTCCTGATCAAGAATTAATGCAAGCAACGTCATCGCGCGGTGCAGTCAGTGGTGCACCACCGTGTACATCAGATGAAGAAGAGGGTGAGCGTTCAGGCTTGGCTCGCCTTCGCTCCAACAAACAAAACACCAACTGACCCAACCTTACCCCTTTTACTCCTCCCAATCCAGCGACTCTTAGCGTCGTTCGAGTCCTCGCCCTTAAAACACGAGCTAATACGAAGTAAGACGTGTGAAAAGGAAGACATAAACAAAATTTTATATACACATGGATACATATATATATAAACATCTACACATGTATACTTATGGGATATATGTATGTATTCTCTCATACAAAATTGAATGAACAATATGATTTGAATTGGTTGTTAGTTGTACCACTAAGTTTCACATTACAGTCTTACACTGTCGTTTAATCGATATTTATACATCCTAATTATTTCACATATCTGGGATCATTTTTAGAACAGAATGACAAATTCGCCTTTATTCATACATTCAGTATATCCTAAGATTTAGAAATATGTAAAAATATGAGAATACGTTTTTGTATTTCGTATTTTTAAAAGAATATAAATACGAGTACTATTTATGTGCCAAATGTTCATGTCAGAAGTGAATAAGTCGAAGTTGCCATTCTGTGGTCAATGGAATTATTTACTCCTATACTCTATAACAACTTTTAAGCAGTTATTTGGAGTACTAAATCATATAAAGAATTTGGACAATATAGAATTGCATTGTTACCTGTTATAAGTATTATTATTATTATTATTATTATTATACAATCATATTATAATGATGATGATGGTGATTATTATTATTAACATAAGTATAAAGTCGTCGTGTTTATATTCTTTTTTTATAGAACAAAATTTATCTGTCAATAAATTAATAAAATAAAAAAACATGCCTATTTGCATTTTTCAACTCAAATTCTACTAAACTGCTTAAAGGATGATGTGGAGTAAACACTGCCAGTAAAATAATTATAATGAAACATATAAATTAATCTGATATAATTTAAAATTAATTCAGATTATAATTAATTCCTTGATTGTACAAATATTGGTCCTTTATTATGAACAAGACATTGACTTTTATAAGCACATAAGCTTTGTGTTAATTTCTGTATATCATTCCAAAATGTGGTACATTTTTTTCGTATTAATGCTTTTTATTTTGCTTATACGCTTCCACTTATAAAAACAAATATATTATGATCCAAATGATTATTGCAGATTAATATCGCATATTTTTTTTAATATGGTGCAAAACTCCTATATTTAATGATGGGACCATATGTATTCCAATTCATTACTATTTGCATTATTGAATTCTTGACTCAAAAACTCATTCTATTCTCCCGAATACAAGACGATATCTATGGTATATTATAGTAATATAACAAAATTTCCCAACAAAAAAGAATTTAAGTTCCTATAATTTTATGTAAGAAAATTTCGGAATTATAGCTAGCGAATGTGGTTCATATTTTGCATTTATTATAAATCACTACATTTAATAGAATTATGTAACATGTAAATTAATGCAATATATATTATATTAATCAAAACTTTATTGCTGCTTGAATTTTTCAACCTCACAGTAGAGCACAGTTTTAATGGCCTTCTCTGTCAGGTAAACCCGACACGAGCTATGACGTTTCTTCAAATTACATATCTTCATATAAAATAAATAGAATTAATTATAGTCAAAGATAAATTAAAAATTATACTGATCATTTATCTTTTCTTTCAGGAAACTAGTACATCCCATCAAAATACATAGGGTAGCCATGGTCCACTTATTAAATCGACGAAATTCTTAATCTAGCCACATTGTACAAGCCAGCAACGTTTATTATAATATGTAAAAAGTTGTCTTGTATCCGGGTGAATTAATTACCTTTTGATATTTTCAAAATTACCAGTTAATTCAATTTTTTAATTGAAGATTAAAAAATTTCATCTAAATACTGCTCAAGTAAGAAAATATTCTTCTATTCACATTTTTTTATGTAGAAATCATATATCCAATAATTTTTAAAATTATATATTACAAATGTACACAGAAATACAGATAAATTTAACTTGCCAAAGTAGATTAAGAATAAAATATTAAATAATAGTATCATAAGAAATAATAATATTAAATTCTAGTTACTAGATATATAAATAGTCCTGCATGTGTACATACTGTGTGTATTGTTATAAAAAGATAATAATAACATATTTAACATATTTTATGAAAAGTACATTATATCGTATATCAAATTATAATTTTTATGTAGGTTTAAGTTTAGATAACATTAGTAACAGTAGTAATGTTCATGTTTCAATAAATATTCTACAATAAAATTTATATATTCTACATACAGCAATTTACAAAAGTCATTGTACACTTTATTAAAAGACCACTTTTATTAAGACTAAATTCCATTGCAGAATTAATATCAAGATGACTAAGATCTGTTTCATTATTGCTTTATACATTAAGAAATAAATATATCATTGTACGATAATATAAATACATGTATGTTTTATTTATGTAAATGAATGTTTTCTAAAAACATTTCTGTAACTTTTCTTCAAGAAAAACATATTTACAAAATACAATGTTTCATAATTTTTGTCAAATATAATAGCAAAGCAAAAATATTAATTTGTGAATAAATTAATATTATAACAATTTGTAAATTAATAAATATGTGCATTATATAGGGAGCTCATTGTACGCCTAAAAATAATGAAAAAAAGTCATATAAATATATATCCTATTGGCCTCCCGAAGTGGGCCCCACAAGTTACGAAACAGTATATGTATATTAAAATGATTTCTTGGTCAATGATATTCTCATAAATTTTATCGTATTTTTATTTTTATCCTGAATGTTATTTCTATTTTCTGTCCCAATATTCGCTGAATTGAATAATTTATTAAAAAAAATTTTATTTATAATATAATATTTTATTTAGTTATTATTATTTGAAGATTAAATCTTGTACAAGATTATAAAAACATTTATACGAATAATTTTTAGCTAAAAAAATTAATTTTTTTATTTAATAAAAATATAATATTAATAACTAATATTTTAACTATTTAATAAGTCATTTAAAAATCTGCATTTTTATTGAAAATGTTATAATGAAGTATAAGTTTATTATCGCGTACTGTAGCAAAATTTTGTTCTTAATGATTTACTTGTAGCTGATCTTTAAATTTATATTTCATGTTTACCAACCTGATTTTGTACCAACATCACAGTCACGAATTAATTTGCGTTATACGACAGTTCACTGTGTTGACATCATCAAACATTATGTTTTGATATTTTTGAGAAACATTGACTTTCAAAAAATGGGTAAAACGAAAGATTTAAGTTCAGACGAAGAGATGATTTTAGGTACGATTTTTCATGTGTTGGAAAATGAACGTCGGATTTATGTAAAGATAGAAATACTTATTAGCTTTTTCGTTTTGTCAATTTCATCATTGGGGTTAGTGAATCCTGTAAGATGAGCGTCTTAAAGGCAACGTCACATCGATTTCTATGGCGCTTTGCAAGAATCTGTTTCGCGGAAAATTTGAAAATTTTATGCATTTATGTACACTTACAATTGCTTCTTTAATAACTTTTATATTTATATATAATTTATCTTTTAGGAACTAATGAATTATTGTCGCAAAAACGGCATAAAAAACATAAACATAAAAAGCATAAAAAGAAAAGAACTAGTCATGATGATAATGATGGTTTTAATGATGTTGCTGCAGAAACAGAAAAAAAGAAAACATTTAGAGTTAAAATAAAAAAGGATGATGATAAGAGGTAAATATAGAAAAGTAGAAAGCAAAAATAAATTAGATATTATTACAAATGAAAGGTGCAATTTATATTAATATTTTTTATACAGTTTAGAGAAACCTCGTGAGAAAATGCAAAAAACATCTAATCTTAGCATCGCAAGTGCGAGTACTACACTATCACCAAAAGTTGCAACAAAGAAAAAAGTTCCAAAAGGTAACAAAAGTAAAGATAGTGGTACTAGCAGTGAAGAAGAACGATGGCTTGATGCAATTGAGTCTGGGAAACTTGAAGAAGTAAGTTTATTACTTCATCCTTTACAGATTAGTTTTCTTTCTCATAAATTAAATATCATATATATAATATAATATTATACATTTTTGTCATAATTAAATATATTTTATCTTAGGTTGATGACGAGCTAAAAAAGATCAAACCAAAGGATCCAAAGTTAATGACAGCACGTCAGAGAGCCATGTTTGAAAGAAAGACTGACACAGAACCAAATCCAGCTGTTGAACAACTTATGTCTTTGCCAACTGGTTACAAAGAAAAAGTGATGACAGCTGAAGCTATACAAAAAGCTGCTCTTAAATCATTGAAAAGGAAACAACTTGCTGATGAGAAAAGAGAAAAAGATAAAGTAATGTGATCATGAAAATTAAAAGTTTAAAAACTTTTTTTTGTAAAATAAATATACTTAGTACATAATAACATACTGAACTCTACATAAATAGTACTTAAAATTATACTTTTTACTTCCATAGAAAAAAACAATGGAAAGGTTATTAAAAAAACAAGAATCTAAAGCTTCTAAAGTTATTAGTAAAGGAAAACCTTCTAGAAGACAAGTTCCATTGGTTGTATATCGTTTAACGCTTGAAGGAAGTTCGATATCTTTACCACCTGGAGAAGATTTTCCATTACAGCCTATGAAAGAGTAAGTAAAAATGACAAACAATTTAAAAGATTGAAGTTTTTATAATATAAATTATATCATTTGTTATATTTCCGTTTTTTAGGAAAGAACCATCAATGCGAATACTCTGCGGCGTAAATCAATGTAAAAATCCAAAAAAGTATTCATGTTCGAAAACTGGTGTACCATTATGTAGTTTAGAATGTTACAAAGTTAATTTAGCTCTATCTGTATAATATGTATATTAGTTATATATATGTACATTAGTTATTTCAACATTCTTAATTTGCTTTTCTATATTCATAAATATTAAATGTATTCTTTATTAAGAACTCCAAATATTTGGTCTTGCAAACTTAATAAGACCATTGTTGAGATAATGACATGTTTGAGCTTGTCAGTATAATAGTATAGTTGTCACACATAATTTTGTATAACATGCAGAATAACATTTTTGCATAAGACGAGAAATTATGTTTTAAAGAAAATATTAAATTAAGAAAAAAAGAATTCATTTGTTAATATCACAAATAATTTGTAAATATTTTGTACATATCTTGTAATTATTTTATTGTAAAATTCCGAATATAAATTTAGCATATATTTTAAATTAATTATTCAATTAATCATTACTAGAATAAGCATAAAACAAAAAAGAATTAGCTAGGCAAGTATATTTTTCATAACAGAAAATATGAATCTGAGTCAAATGCAGTTTAGTCTGCATAACTAAAAGTAGCTTAGGCCTTGCTTTCACCAACCAAGATAGATTCAGCTAAGTCGTCGTATGATCGTGAACCGTGTAACATCGTCAGTATTTAATTTCTCGAGTCATTGTGATTCGCGATTCGTGATTCGCGATGATTATTAATTATTATATATCAGTTTTCATAAATTGCTAGATTTCGACAAAATTTGTCTGGATTAAAATGTGGTGGTTCAAGAACTTGATTGTTTTTACCATATTTTTTAATTTACTAAAAGTATCTATTTCTCAAACAAAAGGTGAGAAAATGACTTGAAATGTCTACAAAGTATAACTTTAAGTTTAATAAAATAAAATTATAATACATTAGTTTTCCCAAGCGTATTATGTTACATTTAGTAAAAATTATTTCAAAATCAAAGACGTGATTGCAAAATGATCCTTTTTCTTTTTTCAAAGAATCTATATCCACTAATATTTAACAAAATTAGTAAATTAGTACATTAATTAATATTTTATAAAATCCAAGTCTTCTATTATTTTGTTATATAACTAAATCTTTGTTAATAAACGTACATTTACGTACATTACATTTCTTCTTTTGAAAATCAGATGATGATTATCACGAATGTGTGCGGTCTTGTGCTGACAATGTACTTTCAAAAAAAGTATGCCGTTACGAATTCTTCGCCAAAGAATTGTCTAGTCCAATCAGGTAAGATGTAAACTCATAAATTCAATTACACATTTAACGTAACATATATGCACTTTCCGAAGCTTTCGAAAACGAAAATGAAAACTACTAACAAGTTTTCGAAGTTATTCTTCCATAAAAAGAAAGTTCATATATGAAATCGTTGTAATACAAAACACATGTGATGCAAAATGTAAGTCACCTGATCTCGGACGAAAACAAACTAACTCTTGAAGACACTTAAATAAAGACGCTTAAATACAAACCTAAAATAGGGAATATTCTTTTTAAAAAGAAAACCTCGGAATCTCGGTCAATTCTAGCTGTGGAAAGAACATACAATTTCTAACGTGATTTAAGAACTAACGGTTAACACACTTGGTTACATCCTGAATTTTTTCAATTCCCAACTGGTTCTTACACTTGCCACTTACCACTCACCATCACGAACGTGTTTATCCTAGCGTACAGATAATAAAGGCTAGATAATGGCAACATACATTTTGTGCAAATAGTTTAACAAAATTTTCTTGTTTAAATTCTGGGCTCTAGTCATGATACATATTTATTTTATATTATTATATTTACATGTATAAAAAGTTCCATTTATCTAAATTTGTTGAAATTCCTTTATTTTTATCGTTGCTTGCAGCATTCAAAATGGTTCTAAAAACAAAAATGAATCGATGAATCGTGACGAAATAATTTCATCGAATAGTTTTTTAGGAATCAATGGAAAAAGTCCGGGTCCACAGATAGAGGTAATTCACAGCCATCTCTCGACATTTTTAACTTCAATCGTGATTTTCATAGTCTCAATATTTTGAATCAGAATCGAATTGAAATCTTTTCGATATTCCTGTGAATATCGAAATATGCATGTGTCTTACGAGTTCATCTTACGATTTAGGTATGTCTTGGAGATACGATAGAAGTACTTTTGTACAACAGATTGGGATCCGAAGAGTTATCTTTTCATTGGCATGGAATGCGGCAAAAAAATTCTGCTCACATGGACGGTGTTCCAATGGTCACACAATGTTCAATATTGCCATTCGGAGGTTTTCGGTATAAACTAAAACCTGAGAATATCGGAACATACATGTATTACGCACATATAGGTGAGCATCATATTTAAATAAACTTAAATGAATGGGTAAAATAATAAGATATATATATATATATATCACATAAAGTGTAAAATAATTGCAAATAAAAACCAAGAAAATTAATTTCATTTAAATTGTTGAGCTTCTCGTTGATTGCAATCTTCTGAGCTGTAATAACTTTGCTAACATTTAAATCGATTTCAAATCTCCCGCGCTGTAGAATGACTTCTACTTCTGCGAGAACAAGCAAAATTAAAGTAGATCAATAATCTTGAAACTGTGTAGAAGTTAGGTTACACGTTACGCTCGCTGTTTCAAGGAAGGTAGCATCTATCAAATGTTCAGGTATTCATTTTCTTAACGTTTATCTTTCTACATTTGTTTTCTATCAGATGATCAAGTGAAGTATAATAATTTTGTGGTGATAAAATGAAATGTAGAATCAGAAGTGTGACAAAAGATAATCGTCCACCTGGGAGACCCAGGTACATTATACATAGAGCTCCGAATATTTTAGAAAATAATTGCTGTAACGTTAATTAGATTTTCATTGTTTAATTTTCCCCTCTTCTCTAAAATTAACAAAAAGAAATTAATTCCTTCTTTTACAGCCTTTATAATGTATATGGTGTATATGTATACATAGTTATATATTTTATTTTGACCTACGATACACATTAAAATGTCATTAGAAATATCAATGCAATGTATTCTCGTATCATGGAAAAAGAAAACGAGATCAGACAATTGCTGTTGAATAAATTCTCCCATTGCATCCGAGATTGAAGCAGAAAATCAATAATATGGAAAAAAAATAGGCGTGTCTACTTTTAAGGTTGCTTGAACAAGAAACCATCAATTAGGGAACTGCCAATCATCGTATCATCCGAAATTAGATGTTCCATTTTTGTGAAAAATGTAGAATGAAATTGAGAAATGAGTTCAGAATATATGCATAACGTTCGTAACCAATCGTATTTATTTTTATTTTATTTTCATCGGATGTCCAGTTAGTAGCAATAAATTTGGCCGATCTGTCTCGTTATTATTCAATTTAAAGTTGAGAAGTATCGCACGATTTATACACAAATATAAAATAAAACTACCGTGATACGTTAACTACCGGGATACAACGTGCATGCTCTCATTAATCATGGGCACAACAGCGTTAATGGCGTTGGATTATTAGTTTCACAGCAGGGCGACGGCGTGTACGGGTCGCTAACAGTTCGAGGACCACAAAATGACCGTAGCTTGGAAAGGATACTTCTCCTGTCGTCAAGGCCGTCAATTCCATTGTCACGGTACTCGTACTTGCATCCACCTACGCCCAGGGAACTCCTCTTAAATGGCCAGGTATTCGTCTAATTAGACAAGACGCCACGAGTCGAGATAGTCGAAGCAAGACGAAAGTACTCGAGACTTTCAATTGTTTTTAAGTGAAGATTTTCGTACGTAAAAGATACAAGAATAAGTTTTGTGCAAATATTATTCACTAGCATTATAAATTTTGAGAGATTTTTAACTTTTAATTTTTTAAATAATCTTACAATCTTTTGATTAATTTAATGATATTTGTAGCTTCTTTTTTTTCTAATAAAAACGAGTACTAGTCACCGAGAATTTTAGATGTTCGTTAAAAGTATATCGTATCAATTCTATTTATTAATCCGTATTTAGTACAACTATTAGTACAACTTGTTGCACATTAACAAAACTCGCGCAACGTCATCGATAACTGTATGTTTTTCTTTTTTAGAATAACGGGTCCATGTTGAGAGTTCATTATGGAACGAAATACTTCCTACGAGTCATTAACGCCAACGCGTACAATTGCCCCGTATTGTTATCCATCTCTGGCCATGATTTTCGTGTTTTGGCTGTCGATGGGAACCCGGTCGAACCAACAATGGGCCGGCACGTCGTTTCCTTTCCAGGTATGGAGATGACTTTGTTGCTCTACTCCATGGGTTTTGTACATTCGCCACACGTAAAATGTAATCGTAGTACGTGCACGTCGGATACGCAAAACCCTTCATTCGTCGACTTGGTTTCTCGCTTTTTTCGTGCGCACAATTGCGCCCGGAACTTGAGTGGAAACGAGCAAAGGTGGGCGGTAAAGAATCGATGGAGGTGACGAACGAAACGTAATCAAACTGAAATTGAATTGTAAGATAAAACGTACGAGCAAATGTACGTGAATAGTAATTTGCTGAAAAATATGTTGCAAGATATTTTTGCAAGATCGACGATATATAATTTAAAGCGACAAACAATAGTGTGCTATGGAAGAGCGAACGTTTGATATTGCCCTAATTGTTTTGCGTGAATCGTAGCATTTACATATATATGTGATCGGACGTAAGTGAAGCATGATTCAGACTGATGATGGATTGACAAAGGAACCGAAGGAAAATTGTAAATAGGAAGATAACGAAGGGGAGAAAAGAACGAGAACGAGAACAGGACAGAAAAGAAAAGAAGTGATGAAGAGACAAAGAGATGAAATGGTAAGGAAAAGGAGGATAACCGAAGACAAAGAGAAAAGGAAAGATCGTAATGAAGGAGGACCAATGGAGGTGAGAGTCAAAACCCAGCTATCGTAATTAATAGAAAAAGGAAAAGGAAGAGAGAAGGAAAAAGTGGCGAAGGAGCAAAAGCGTGGGGGAAGCTTTTGGAAGGATGAAATTGAAGAAGAACATGAAACGATGAAACAAGGCGCAAGGTCGTTCGGTAAACAAAGAGAAAGGGAAGGCGAACGCGAAGAGTACACGCAACGAGGCCGTAGGAAAGAAATGCGAAAGCGAAAGGGGAGAAGGAAAAAAGAGGGAGAAGAGTTAGCGGGAGAAGGAAAACGGCTTGGCGGTTTCGCATACATGCATAAAGTACGTTTAGCGATGAGGCGTGCAGCACGGTGGCCGATTCGTTCGCGCAGACTCGGCCATCTTCGTGCTCTCGCCGGGTTTCCGTAAAGGGAAATAAAGAAAGGAAGGCGACCAAACGCGCGCGGGTCTCGCGCAAAAATCATTAAAACGCGTGCTCGATTCGCGGCTGCGGCGTCGTTGTCGGCTCGTAGTCGACGATTTATTAGCCGGTACAGGGAACGGGTGGAACTCGCCCGCTGCCTCTCAGCCGAGTCGCTTGCTCGCTCGCTCTCTGACTTTCGACTCAACGTCCGTCCGTAATCTCAGCTTGCAGTCTTTTTTTGACGCACGCGGCATTTTCTCCACGACAGGAGAGAAGAAACAAACAAAAAAAAAAAAAAGAAAAGAAAAAGAGAAAAAGAAAAGAAAAGAAAAGAAAAGAAAAGAAAAGAAAAGAAAAGAAAAGAAAAGAAAAGAAAAGAAAACGTTGGCACCAGCCAGAGTGTGTCCGCGCGCGCCGCCTTAATATTCGTCGTGGCCATTCTATTTTCCATGTTTAGCGACGACGCGTGGAACGAGTCAGAAACGAACGACACGCGGCTCGGCATGGAGTGGACTCGCGACAAGACCCTCGAGCTACTGCGCGAATACCAACAGAGACGCGTCCTCTGGGACTGGAATGCTCGAGGGTATCGCGACCGTGCCAAACGAAAACGCGCGATCCAAGAGCTCGCCGAGATCCTTTGCTGCAACACCCTCGAGATCGAGAAAAAGATCACGAATCTCAAGTGTCAATACTCAAGGGAGGTTCACAAGATACAGAACAGCCGTGACACAGCTACCGGGCCCGACGATGTTTACGTGTCCAAGTGGTTCGCCTTTAAAGCAATGCAATTTCTGCAATTTGGCACGCGTAGATACAGTAAGAGAAAGAAGGTAGGTATATATTTATATATACGTATAGTTACACAGAGCTACACATCGTTCTTTATCATTGCGTGTGTATATCGCAAGTACGCTGTCGCGCGAGAAATCCAATTGTGACGGATATTTTCTTCCCACGTGTCGCAATCGCTTTAACAAAATACAGCTATAGACGAGACTCTCGTTGCGTTGTCAATTCCTTTAAATCGTCCAAGAAATAAATACCTAGTCGACTGTTTTATCGTACGAAACCTACGTGACCTACGTCAATCGGATAATTGGCCAAACAATTTCGAAAAAAGACTATTGTGTGAACGCGTTTCCTCGAAAACGAAACGCCTCGCCTTCGCTTGGACTCGTGTCGTGCTTTTCGTAACAATTTTTCGTTTTCGATCCGACTTAAATTGGCCAAGTCCAATTCTCCTACACATCCTACATTGAGAGCATCGTCCAAATCGTGATGAACGATATTTCTGCCAACCTGGTCCGTTTCTCACGCTCTATGTTTGTTTCTCTCTACGTCTCTGATTCTCCCTCGTCTCTTCTCGTCTCGTTTGCTTTACCTCCTCGTCCGCCGCCGCTCGCCTTTGTCTTCCTTCTTTACTTTCTCTTTCTCTCCTTGAGTCCTTCCATGCCTCCCCATTCAGCGACTGATTGAATTGAATCGATGCATTGGGCCGTTTTTGCGGAGAGCTGTTACTATCGTCCCGTAAGAAAATGGAGAAACTCGCTCGCGACGCGCTCGAATAATCACAGAGAATCTTTGATAATTATTAGGCAACGAGCGTGGCAATAGTTTGTCAGTTGATTCGAAGCATTAATCGGATTCGCAGATCGGAGAGAGGAAAAAATGTAGATTAACATCGAGTCGAAAAAATGTAGGTTATGCTCCTTTCTATGCGTATGATCTTTCTTAATTAAACGAATCGGTTCGAGCATTGTTCCTCGAGGCGTTTAAACATGTACATACATCTCTGTGAAAGTTTTTAACACAGAGTTTGCGCGAAAGAAAGATCGAAATGTTAGATTAACGTTGAGTCGTGTGAACCGCGATTGAATCGTGATTCGATTCGTTTGTGTGTTCACGTAATTGTAACACTCGGAATTGCCAAGTTCTCTCTAGACTTCGATGAAGTTTCATTACGGTAAGTAAATTGGGTTAACATTGAAGAAAGTGACGCTTATTATTATTATATCATTAACGTGTACGTAAATTAATTGGAGAATTCTTACGAAACGTTCATAGTGGCGTGTTTAACCGAACTAAAATTCATCATGCAAATAATTACTCGCGTGCAACTTCATTCATCTCTTTAGAACTGAAAGTCCAGATTTTAACAATTGGACCAGGCTCGCCAATTTCACGTTGAAAAACACCAGTCACTCGAGCGAGAAAAATCACAGACAATGGGTGTAGAACCGAGTTGTATATGTTGTTTATCCTTCGACGAGAGTTCAGATAAATCCTATACATAGTATATCCCGTCAACACCGTGCGGTGGATGCTGAATGCAACTGGATTTCTCTCGCACACGCGTCCAACGTAAATACAATACGCAGCATGTGAAAACAAGTATGTATGTATACACGCGACGATACCGTGCCAGAGTATGTATGTATGTTTGTATATATATGTGTGTACAGCGACAGATACACGGAAATATGTACATATATTTTTCTCTCCGCAGAAAGTCGAAGAGGTGACGTCCAAACTGCAAGAGGAGTACATAGTTAGCGACATCGATCCCGAGAGCATAACCTTCATAGACTGTAACGAGGAAACGAACGGATCTGGCTCGCTAAACGCCTCGCTCAGCGAGGACGCCGAGGAATCGTCGTGCTCGAGCTTGAAAGCGATGGAGCCGTACAACAACGGTTTGTTGCAAGATCACTGTAGTCCGGGTTGCGATCTGGACGAGTCCGATCAGACAAAGCTGGAGGTGACGGCCGACGAACGGAAGAGAACGAAAGAGGAGTTCGCCAAATTCGCGGAGAGCATCGCTGTACAACTAGCGGAGATCCCAGACTCGTACTCGAGATCCGTGGCGAAGCTGAGGATCAATCAGATCCTGTTCGAGGCGGAGATAGGCGTTTACGCGCAAACACGTCGCTAACAAATGCAAATGCTTCGTTTCGACATTTAAAACGGGGCGGGGAGGGACAATTTGTGCCACGCAATCGTGGCGAAATTTTTTTCCATCGAAAGAGAAATTTCTGCACTGTAACGCGTTAGATTGTCACACATGATTGTTCGACATGAAAGAGCGACCATGTGTTCATGTACGTTTCGTGGGCAGATTGAAACTGAGAGGCAATGCTCTTGCGACTGACCGGAAACGAACGAATAACGCTGTTTACCGCGCAATTGAAGCAGTAGATGTAGATACGTGTTTTAATATTATGAGAACTATTGTTAAATAATAGCGTGGATGGTACTTTAAATGTATGATCGATTCGATGACGCATTTTCGAATTGCATTAGCGTGTTATATTTAATTCGAAGTTCGTCGAGAAACGACAATACGAGGACCTAGCGTTTCTGGCTTGTTAAGCTTACAATTATTATCTGTCTACTTCTGATTTCCATCTCCGTTTCGAATTATATTTACACGTATTTACATGTATACCGAATTATAAATCGGTTTCGAGTTGTGTGAAATTCGGAATCGATGACCGAGGATAGTAATGAATTTAAATTTGAATGATTTATTGGTATTAATATTTCGTCCTCGATTAGGATAGATGGTACAATGAGACTAGAACGAGAAAGTAATACATACGAGTTCACATGTAATTTACTAGTTGAATGTATAGTTGACAAAAAGATCATTTATATGAAGTTTAAGCCGTTTAGAGACATTTAGAAAATTCTTTATATTTAATGTTACGTCTTTTTCTAATTAAAATTGGTTCTCTTCTGGGAATTAATCGTTCAAGGCCCCGAGAATAAGCTTGAATATTACGGTGGAAAATCTACGTGTTGTTGTGAAAATTATTGTTCTGTAAAAGTAATAGAATTTTGTGGAATTTAAAGAAATGTTGAAGAAAACTGATTTGAACTGCTTGGAAACTGAAACTGCTTCTAAGCGCTTCTAGAAGCAGTGTTTCGTTATATACGTACAAAAATGCATTATCAAGCGTTAATGAAATTTGCAAAATATTGAGATTAAGGAAAATATTTTGCAATTCAAAGCCAGAAGCGCGATCTGTCATAAAAGGGTGAATTTATATTATTTCTCAATATTTAAATGCCTTCTACGTATCAAAAATATTTTAACAGGCACGTTATCGTCTAGGACTCGATTTATAAAAAAGACTGTATTTTAAACAACGCTATTTTTCGCAATACAATTTTGTTCGTTTGTAAGGATGATCCAAATATTTTTTAAGCGATCTTTGGTCGATCGAACGTTATACACAATTATAAAACGAAATGTGGGTATGTGATTTTAAATGAGAAAATAAGTCAAAAGTCTATGACATTTGAGTCAGGTTGAATGGAATAACGAAACTCGCTGTAATATTTAAAAAAAGAAAGAAATTGATGAGCTTATAAATGTTATAGAATATATCCAGTTTAAACTGTTTGTAATTCTTAACTATTCGTGATTGTCCAGTTATTGAAAAAAATACAAAAAATTTATTCAGACTAGTAAAAGTAGCACTAAGTATGTTTTCTTCTTTTTCTTTTTTATGTAAATAACATTGTTATATTTTCAATGTATGTTCTTAAATTTTTACGCAACTCAAATTTGTTATAAAAAATTGCACGTTCGAAAGAAAGTTGATGCCCAATTGTAAATATTGATTTGATCGTTGCGAAATATTTTAATGCACAGATATTGTGATACTAAACGTACTTTTTAAAATGACAGCGATATTCGTCATTTGTGTAACCTGTCTCATGATTTAAATCTAGATTGTAATAACTGTGTAGGTATGTATGTATTCTATTGGTATTCTTTCAGGGCTTTAAGTAGTGGACGCGTAGTAACTAATTTTATATATATATGTAATGAATTATTTTTTATCGAAAAAAAATCCCTCCGTAAAATCGAAAATAAGTTATTTTTAAATTAACTACGTTAATTTTTATCTTAGGAGCAAACTGTATTGTATTTCATATCATATTAAATTAGGCTCTTTGTTAATATGTAGCTAGGTAATATAAAAATGAAATTAGATAGTAATAATTATACACAAAATTCAACAGTCTCCGGTGTATGTCTTTATAATACGTACGTACATTATTGTTCCTCATTCTGCGATAGTTTTCTATCATTGTGATTTCATTTAGAATATTTACGTACAGTTTTTTAGAATCTTTTTACTTAAATTTTAAGATTATTCTTATTCGAAACGAATCTTCGCACGATCAAATACTCTGTTTCTTTGTGAGTTTACGTTTTTATGAAGTCCTCGAATTATTGCCAGAGGCATAGATATTATTTCTTCTCCGAGCAAATCTCTTTCTTCAAATCTTAATAATTTCATTGCCATAAGTAATTTCGAATCATCTTACTTATTTTGAACACATGGATAATTTGAACAACAGATAGTACAGAAACTTTTAAATATATCCTTTCCAAGATATATTTGAGTGAGCACTTTGGAAATAAAAATTGACAATGTCACAGTGTAACTGTTGTAATAGTTGACGATTGATAGACACAGAAATACCTATCACAATAAAAAATTATAAAACTAAAGTTTGCAATTATTTTGTAAAATTGTTTTTAGCATAGTAAATAGATTGAATAGAATTAGTAACTATGAAAAATAGAATTTTTCTAATTGTTATTTCAACTTTCCTATGTTCCAAACTTTTATTGAATATTAATTTTCTGTGCAAAAGAAGGAGAAATAGGTGAGAACAAAGAGCTCTATGTAAACATTAATTTACGCAATCACTGCCTAATACCTCAAAATTTTTTTTCCAATAAATAATATAATATATAATTATATATTACATTAATATTAGTATATTAATAACACAGTGTAAAAATTTCTTGTAAGAAAAGATAATGCTAAGATCTTTAATCTACTAGAGGAAAGTACATACTTACAATTAAGTATTAAAAAGTTAATATTATTCTACATGCATGAACATAGTTTTATTGCCGTGATTTATGTTTCTTTCTTCTTTTACATACATGTTATTGCAAATGAAATCAACAAAGTTGATAAGTGAAATTTTTAAATATAAATAATTTCAAGTAAAAACTGAAAAGTACAGTACATCTGCACAGTTTATACTGATTATGAAAAATGAATTAAAAGGTGTATACTATGTACCTAGCAGCAATGAAATGTAATTCTTCTTTTTATAACAATGTTTTTGTAATATTAAAATAGACGGATTAACTTTATTATTAGTCTTTTTTATAAGTTCAGCGATGCTATCAGATTTTAATAAAAAGAATAAGAATGAACACAGAATAATAACAGTAATCTTATTTTTTTTTATAACTTCTCTACCATAGAAATTTCATTTCAGGCGAGAGATTTGACATGATTGTCGAGGCGAATCAACCTCCTGGAAAATATCACGTCGACATAGAGGGCCTTCTGGATTGTCAAAACCTTCGTCAGGAAGCTTTCATTCTTTACGATAATACAAAACCAGAGTCCGCTGTGACAAAGGACGACAAACTATTGAAAATCAATGACTACGCAATTGCAAGCAAGGGCCATGATTGTCATCAGATATCAAAGAATTTCATTTGTGCGTTGGATTTAAAGGGATCGAGAGAAGTCGAGGTCAACTCGAACGAAGTTATTTATATTCCATTCGACGTAAATGCTTTTTCCTACTTTACGGACGAGATGTCGGACTATAAGTATAATTTTTACGGATGCCCTTTCTATCCGTCAAGTCTAAGTAAGGATATGAAAAGTTTAATATTAGAATCAATTTTTTTAACATATATTATATTGTAAATTATAAATTAATTAGAATTAATATATCTTCGTAAGGAATCTGATTTTCATCACTTTGATAAATTTCACGGTACTGGTCTAACATTGTAATTATCATTTCGTTTGAATTTGTTCAATACGATATACATAATTTTGAGGTATACTATATATATTATACTATACTACTATATAGTATATATACTATATACTATACTATAGGTATAAAATATAGATATATGAAAAGTACATTTCGTTACATTTGTATTTATAACGTGTACCTATAAATACAAATTTCAGGTACAAAGAAGGAAGGAGCAAAAGTCGCACAAATTAATCGCATGTCGTTTAAATATCCCATGTCTCCTTTATTGTCTCAACCGGAAAACACACCGGAGGAGGGAATTTGTTATTTCGAGAAGCGCTCAAAAGAATGTGCCGATACACCATTGTTCTGCGAATGTGTTCACGTGATCGAAGTTCCACCCAAGAAAAATATTGACATTGTTTTAATAGACGAAGGTAATCCCAATATATCTGCTCGATATCAACTCGTTAATCCTTTAAATTTAAAACAAATTCTTTTTCGTCTAGGCTTCGGTGGAAATGTTTCCCATACGTTTCACATACATGGCTATAACGCAAGCGTCCTAGGAAAAGATAGTTTCGAGCGAGCAATTACCAAAGAAGAAATTATACTTTTAGATCGTAACAAACAGTTACACCGTAATTTTTTAAATCCACCGCAGAAAGATAGTTTCGTTGTACCAAATAAAGGTTACATTATTCTCCGCCTCTTCACTGATAATTTAGGTAGAAGTTATTATATTTAAAATTATTACATCATATTTACAATTGGAATTCATGAAACGAGAATGTTTCAATAACACGAATTTATTTATCCATTTGTAGGATATTGGTTGTGGGAAGCACGAAGCACGGCAATATCTCCAGGAACATCTGGACCTGTGATGCAGTTTCTGTTAAAGGTAGGCAGTCGTGAAAGTTTCTTACCTGTTCCTTTAGACTTCCCTACCTGCGGAAGCAACAAACATCCGGATATGGTGTTCGAAACAAATTAATTTAGCGCATAAATTTCTGTATATTTATTTTAAGTTAACTAATCATATTTATTTATCGTTACACGATTCACGACAGTCTTTATTTAAAAGATCAGTCTATAGCTTTTTCTGTGAAATACAAAGAAGGAGAATCCTTGGAAAAGATAAATTTTTGGCATATTGGAAAGAATAATAAAGAATGAAATAATAGAGTTTGAAAATGCTATATATTTGTTTAGTGGTTACGTATTAAGAAATTATCAAACTTAAGGATATCTAATACCATAAAAATTGTTCAAAGTATGTAACGCTGGTGTCCAATTTGAACATTCCGGGAAACCGTATGGAACTGGTGGAAGATCGTTTCTATCCCCTACGTGAATGACCAGTTCCATTCCAGTAATATGATGCCAAGTAAAGTGGCAATGAAGTAACCACCAACCTATTAAAAAACAATATGCTATAACACTTTCATCGAAACTATTTTAAGCGCTTACAAAGTTACAAATTTCAAATAAATTCAATTAACATTAATCAAACGTTCGTGTTAAATCGTGTTTTTAAATATCCAAGAAACTCTAACTTCATGAAAAGCAAGAGAAAGAACTGTATATGGAAAACTGTTATTTTGAAAATAATTTAATATTTTACCTGGATTATTCGCCTTGAAACGTATAATTACATATCCGCCCATTGGAATTTTAACGGTGTCTTTACCAGGTGGATTTTTATATTCTCCTTTTTCAAGACGTTCTGTGTGCTGTTTTATCACTTCATCTATGTTTGCTCTCGAAATATTTTTACTAGATAAAAACTGCCCAATGGTAAATACTTTGAATTCATAGCCATGCAAGTGGAATGGATGATGCAGGTCTTCCACTCGTACTGCAATGTTACTTGTGTATTTAATATTATTAAATTTGTAAAATTATTTTTTCCAACTCCTTAACTAACACAAATAGTACCTGCATCGTATATTATTAATTCCACGATATTGTTTAATTTTGTGTTGATAACTTGAGCACACGTGCAAGGTTCAGTACAACTATTTTGTACATTTTTCTTGCACACGGTTCGGTAAGAACGAGGCTCCGTTAGTAAAGGCGATGCTGGACTCTCGTATGCGATTTCATTGAAAGTTGAAATAATCTGGGAGAAATCATTTACATCTGAAATAAAATAAATTTCTTATATATTTAATAAGACAACATAATATATAAATAAAAAATAACAACAAAAGAAAGAAAGAAAAATTTGCGTTCTTTTAGCTTACAATAGTAAAAAAAAGTATGAATGTTGTATTAAGAAAAATTAACAAAAGAATATATGTACGTATTGAGTTCAAAAGAACCACTAAACAACTAAATAACCAACTAAACAACAATTCACCAAATAACCAATAAAAACAATAATTCACCAATGAAGGTACGGTATGTGTCTGATCCAAATAATATTTTGTCATCATATCGAGTATAATTGAAAAACCAAAATGGTAATATGTGCCTTTCATCTGGCTCAACATTCAAAAGATCGGGATCGACATCTATCCCTTCTAATTGATTTACACAAACATCCGTATTATTTTCATCGCAGGTCGACTCAAGTGGATTATACGTCTAAAATAAACGAATCATTTTTAGACACCAGTGATACCAGGATACCTAATTTCGATTTGATAAACACAAGAACTAAAGTAGTTTGTAACAGTTCAAAATAGAATCAAAAATAAACTTTTTCCTTAGCAAAAGTAGAAACTGATTTAACCCGGATAAAAAAAAAAAAAGTGTCCTTTGAGCTTTGATACTTACAACACCCGTTGCACTCTCTCCATCCGCGTAAGAAGGCTGTGGTCTTGTCGGCCACGTAGGACCTCCTTCATATTGTAAGATAGCAAACTGCTGTACGCGCCGCGTTCCGTTGCATTCTCCCAGACCAAGCACTTGTATCCAGTAAGAATCAACATCTTGATTTGCAGTTAGGATGAAATCGACGCGCTCACCTGTATATTTTCAATATACATAAAATGTAAGCTAATGCAATAAATAAAATATATCTTTCTATTTAAATCGGTGTGTATTTATACAGAGTTAAGTACAAGCGGGTTCAGGGTAATTTCATGAAAAAAAAAAAGTAAAAAATTCTCGTTTTTCGAGAAAATGAAACTTCAAAGTTTTACCTAGCGCTATACATTTAATTAAATCATCATGTCCAAATTTTTTGAATGTGCACTATCGTATTTGAGTTGATGGTAGTGGCACAATAACAATTTAGCCGCTACGATCTCCTAATTTAAGTCCTCTAGATTTATATCATGTTAAATCAATCTTAGTTACAAGCATTGATCAATTGAAAAAAAAAACATGTTACATAGTGTTTCATAGGAACTTAATAGAAAAAGCAAAACTGTAACAACGATTTTTAAACTAATATTTCAACACATTTTCTTAACATTTGTTATAAGTATTGACAGCAATATCGAGCAACATACGAGATAAGATTAGGACATGAAACGTTACTTAAATGTGTAAAAATAAAACTTGTAATAAAATGTGTATGAATAAAACTTGCGAGTTAATTTTCTCAAAAACGAAGCGTCAAACGAAAAATATTTATTTACTTTCTTCGACTTATTATGTCTCATAGAACTACTAGTTACGAACCAGCCTGTACAAAACTAAAAAGTATTAGAAACGTTTTCGTTCATTGAATTATTTGTCTATATTCTAGAAATTGTTTGAAATTATAATTTGGAATTTGTTGAACCTGTAGACGTGACGATTTTATCCACTGGTTTAGGTTTCACGTTTGCACCATCTTGAGCAATTACCACTAATTCGTGTTGTTCGATTCTAAGTTCTGCCAAGCACACTGTGGTAAAAGAATTAATCAGTCGTATTCTATGCCGTTCTCCCTTTTTAACGGTATATTCCGTTAACGATCCATTGGTAATCTGGGCCTTAGTAATGTCAATTGGGTCCTAAAAACAATTATAATTACTTAGTTAAAAAATTTGCTGTTAACAAACACCATAAAAAAAGCATGGTTTCTCAATACTAAAAATTTCGTGAACGCACCGTCGCTTGTCCTAAACCATTTATAAGTATATTTTTCGCAGTTTGTCCTAAGTCATGCCAATACCAACCAGGAAAACGTTCTGCCGATAATTCGTGCATCCAATCACTTAGAAATATGATAATCTCATCTTTGTCAAATAATTGATAATGAGGATCTTTAGACGGTGGATCTCTGACAATAAGACCACCATATTGTCCATCTAGCATGTGCGTCGATATATGGGAATGGTAAAAATGCGTACCCGAATTCTTCACTACGAAATCATATCTAGAATAGGATATAATCAAAATATTTGAATTTTACTCCAATGAAGGGAAAGGAAGAACAGTATGTATGTATTTTCTTAAATAGCGTGAAATATAAATTTCAAGTTAATAATGTTTATGATGAACGTTTAAGAAAACAATAACACATAAAGTGATAGATCTTAGCGTTTACCTAAATGTCGTAGAAGATGGAATTGGACATTGTGTAACATAAGGAACACCATCGTAATATTGATAACCATTTTGGAAAATTCCATGCCAATGTAACGTAACTTCATTCCCTGAAGCGGCATTCTCCACGTCCACTATAATGCGATCATTGACACACACCTGCAGAATAATTGCATAATCGGATCTTGTATGCCGAGTATTTCATAAAAGATTATTTTGTTATTTGAAAGTAAAAGAAGGGAAATCGCTTCTTAATATCTCGTTGTTAAATTTACCTTGATCAATGGCCCTGGCAACTGTCGATTTATGGGTATTAAGGTCTTTTCAAATCCATCCCCTATGATACACTGATCCAAGAAGGTATAGTTACAAGCTCTGAAAATATCGATTTAAAATATAAATTTCGTTTATTTAATTTCATACGATTTTAACTTCATTTATTTTACTTCACATGATTTTTTTATAAGAAAAATATTATATTTTTATATTATTATATTACATCTCCGTCGAAAATATACGTACGGTCCTATTGTTGTGTAGAATTCAATGTGAAAGCGGTAATAGCAATTTTTAGGTTCTTCATTGTCTCTGCAGTCTCGTGCGCATTCTTCAGGCGAAGATACTACACATAAGTTAAACGCTGTATTAAAATGCAGCATGCAACAGGTATGTTTCATTGAAAAATGATAAGTGACAACCTAACTATCTAGATTTAAGCGAAGAAAAATAAGCACGAATGAAAAACTTAGATTGTTACGCATGTAATAAAACGGTGAATGGGAATCATTTATCTTAACATTTTAGTTTTACTTCAAATAAAAATTGAATACTTTTTTTAAGTGCTTTCTGCAAAAATAACTACATGTCGAATATATAAACAGAGAAATGTAGTAAATGATCATTGGACGATTATCAGTATTAATTTCAAGATGCTGTTTACAAAATTATACTTATACTTTGAAAGCTCAGATCAATCCGCGTTCGACATACATAATAATCTACAGACGTTCAATAGACATATTATATTTTATGAATACTTACTCTCACCATATGACAGTCGCGTATAAATCAACAGAATCGTGAAAAGTACGTAAAATCTCATCACGCCTTGGGAAATACTAAAAAATGGAATACTAAAATCAGGATGCATCTTTCTTCTTTTTTAACTAAAACTTGGCTTTATGGGTATGTATTCAACTAGTACTAACATTTTTTTCATATTGATAGCTCCAATTTATAGACAAAAAAGAAAGGTCAACAATTTAATCACATGAAACTTATCGGTTCGCATTTCCAGGTAATTCTTTTAATTGGACCATAAAATTTATCGTTTGAAAGCTTTTTAATTGCTAGCTTCTTTTACAAATTTAGTGACGTGACATCACTCAAACGTATGTATACCAAATTTGCATGTTGCATCGTGCATTTGTACATATCTAAATTATATATATTATATTATATTTTCGGGAATCCCAACAAAGAACGAAATTAATGTTGTGTAATCATCCTAACATCCTGCTCACAGTACTGTACTATATACAACGTGATCGTTATAAATCGTTTTAAATGCACGTGTATAACGTGCATGTTGCAACGTTACATCATAATATGCTACTGCAACTTCTAACATGAGTCGTCCAATCATCATACGTTTTCTACTGTATCTGGAAGAAAACAATGCGTAATAAAGGAAATAGCGGCAACTTTAAAATCACAAAAAAAAGTCTCATTACATATTTTAAATACGATTACTGTCTACCTACGACTATAATAATAAGAGAGAGATTATTGTTAAAATGTTCAATAATTATTGTTTAATTGTTATTATTAAAATGCAACAAAGTACAAAGTAATATGTAGTTTTCATTCTGAGTTTTTCAAGCGACACGTCTTTTTACGGAAGTGAAAACGAAAATATAATTATGTCAAAACTTGGCATTATAAGTTATCGCACGTAACACGTATAATGTATAACTTCCGCGAAAGACAATTACAATGACATAAAATGGAAATAAATTATCATCTCGTATTTATATCGATAATTAAGAAATGCTTTTAACTGTACTATACCTCACACTACTGCATTATCTGTATCATTATGTCATTATGTAAGTGATAAAGACAGTAATGATTCCGTATTGTGTATGTACGTATGAGTAAATATGTATCTATTTCACTAAAATACTTATTATTAATTCTATTGAGTATAATTTATAAATATATTATCGAATGATGTTGGGCTAAGGGATTCAATCTGTTGGAAGCTTCGGGCATAAAAACGAAGATGCAAAAATTCATAAATTAATCCTAATAATTGGTGTTATTTGCATTTGAAAGTTTGGTTTATGAATTCAATTTATGAATATGTAGCGACCGTTACCTCTTCACAATTAAAATCAACGCCATCTACATTAAAACAATCGTTCCGCCGATAAGTATGTTTCCCGTAAACCGACATCGCTAATTGCATATAAACGCTTAACATAAGAATATTTATAAATTGTCATTTTATTTTTATTGTTACTACGGAGACGTTTACTTATTGATAGAGATGTATATATAGACCCCATTTTAGAATTTGTTATTCATTCCTTAATTAATATTTACGGAAAACAGTTATCTATTTGCGTTATCAATATTATCTTATATACCATTGTTATTTAAATATTATTAAACTAAAAGTTACGAAGGTCTTATTTATATTTGTAGTATTGTGATATAAATTAAATTATCATCATTACAAATATATAGTGATTATGATAATTTATATTTATATCACAATACTATAAATAAATAATAACTCTGTAATTAATTTTAGTTGTTTATATAAAAATATTATCAATATCACAAAATATACAGTTACTAATAATTTAATGAAGATTACATAATGGAAGTTAAATGACGAAATAACGAAATAACGAATGAAGAATTTCTACTATGGCTACAATATATATAAGTGTNATAAATAAATAAATAACTCCGTAATTGATTTTTGTTGTTTATATAAAAATACCAATATCACAAAATATACAATTACTAATAATTTAATGAAGTTTACATAATAGAATTTAAATAACGAAATGACGAAATAACGAATAACGAAATAACGAATAACGAATGAATGAAGATTTTCTATTATGGCTACAATATATATAAGTGGCAGTAAACATTTCCATGGTGATAATAAAATTAATAGCTATTTTTAAATACTCTATTGTTTATATTAAATATACATCTCGACGGAACATGGATGTCGTTGATCTAAATTCTTCGAAGTAGAGGTCGCTACAAATATTGAAATGCTGGCGCTGCGTAGCGGTGAAACTGTAGAACTAAAATTTATTATCTATTCTTGTCACACACTAATGAGATCCGTAAGATACATATGGGTTCCTCTCAAAAGAATAAACAGGAAAAATTCAAGAGATGGCAGCATTCGTTTATCCGACTAGATGGTTTTAGATTCACGCGATAGATCATTCGTCTGAAGATAAGGAGCACAATATATAGTACGCGACAAAGACAATGATAGCGTTTAGTTTAGCTATATTGCCGCTACGTGACGCTAGCATCTTTCGCTGATCACGTATCGATCAAATTTTCATTTGCAAAAAAAATTTAACATCAATTATTCACAATAATCTTATACAATCTTCATATTATCCTTGAATGGAAATCACAGCTATTCATATCGTAGAATATAAGAACAGGTTTATCAAATGATCCATACGTTCTCCCCTTTTTTTATTCCAGATGTATTATAATTATAATTCATGTTGCATAGCAGATGTACATATCGAGACGTTTAATCTCTGTTATTTCGTTTTGCATGATCGGACATAAATTATTATTTATACAAAAAAATGCATTATGTCGTTAATTATTCGCAGAGTTGGAAATGCAAACAGACATATACTTTGGAGTATAAATAAATTTGCGATGATTTCATAATAGAAAAAATACAATTGTACGTTCTTTTTGAATTTGTAATGTATCAAGATTATGTATCGGGAAAACTGCGTTATTTACTTTGATAAATATCCCACGAACGAAAAGAACTTATGCACCGAAACGAGTAGCATTCCAATATAACGCAGAACACGCGTCATTGATATTTAATGTGTAGTAAGAAATCCATTCGCGACTTTTAAACGTATAAAGATTTACAAAAACTTCTTAGTAGTATTTTAGCTGCTACTCAACTTATGAATGAAATCATGTCTCATTCTTCGAGGAAGAAATATTGTCCAGCTTTCTTTTGTTCCAAGTCCTGTATAACAATAAAATAGGATAGGTTTCAAAAAAAATTTATGACTCGGAGAAAAAGTTAGTTGCTTAAGACAAAGTAACATACCTTCACAGACTGGCTCTTGTTAATCCTCGGTCTGAAATTGTTCGGATCTCTTCTAAACGTAATACCTAAGAGTTCCAAGAATCTGTTCATTCCGTTCAATAAAGACTGCGGGCTATGAGCAACGGTTGCTAAAGATGGAGTGCCAGAAAATACAATTACACGGTCAGCCAAATACGTAGCCATGATGAAGTCATGCTCTACAACGAATCCTGTTTTCTTGGCGTGTAGAATAAACCTGAAATCACGTACTTTCAACAACTTCCTCAAATAATACAGATCAATACAAATCGTCAGAATTTTCAATTACCGTTTTATTACTTTAGCCGCAACCAAACGTTGCTCAGAGTCCAAATAAGCAGACGGCTCGTCGATTAAATAGACATCGGCAGGTTTTCCAAGACACAAAGCTAAAGCAACTCGTTGCAATTCCCCTCCGGAGAGATTCTGTACCTCTTGATCCATAATATCGTCTATTTTCAACGGTTTCATGACGTCTGTTACAAATTGAGGATGAACGTAAGCGTCCCTGATTTTCTCATGCAGCAATTGCCGTACGATTCCTTGAGACTTGGGACTAATTTTTTGTGGTTTGTAACTAATATGTAATTGCGGGATACTTCCTGTGAAAAATGAAATTAAATGGTCTAATAAGATTACGTAAAATAACAGAAATAAAATACGCAAAGATTACCTACCCGATCCGTCATCAGGTGGTAAATTACCAGCCAACATTCTGATGAACGTGGTTTTCCCCGTGCCATTCTCGCCAAGTAACACGAGAATTTCCGAGTCTGTAAACTGGCCTTTTTCAACGTTTAATTTAAAAGAGCCCATTGTTTTCGTCATCGCGGGATATTCGTAATGATTCATGCGTTTAACTTCCTCCTCGGTTGCACTTTCGGCCACTTTAAATACAAGAGACTCCTCGCGAAATCTCAAATTTTCCGTTGGTACGAAACCATCGAGGAAAATGTTGATGCCCTCTCTAACAGAGAAAGGCATGGTAACAACACCATACGCTCCCGGAACGCCATAAAGGCAACAAATAAAGTCAGATAAATAGTCTAAAACTGACAAGTCGTGTTCCACTACTATTATAAACCTGTTATAAATTTGAATAAAGGTTTAGATTGTGCGGACAACGTTTTTATGTTATTTCTGCTATTTGTGTTGCTTACTTATCAGGATGAATGAGAGATCGAATTGTCAAAGCCGCGTTAAGACGTTGCTTTACATCTAAATACGAAGATGGTTCGTCAAACATGAAAATATCTCCGTTTTGAATGCACACCATAGCACATGCAAAACGTTGAAGTTCCCCACCAGACAATGCATCAATACCTCTGTCACGTATGTGCATTAAATCTAAAAGGAATTCGATAATTCAGTTACTAAAGATCAACTTACAATTTTTGTTATTTCGTTACTGTTCTTAAAATACTCCTAAAATATGTTGAAAACATAAACTGAATTCATAATGTGAGCTTACCCAACATTTCGCAAATTTCTATCTGATTTTTACATTCGTCTTTTTTGTCTAAAAGCTGTTGCACAGTGCCTTTTACAGCTTTAGGAATTTGATCTACGTACTGAGGTTTAATAAGAGCTTTTAAATCATCTTCTAATATTTTAGTAAAATAATTCTGCAATTCGCTACCTCTGAAATGACTTAAAATTTCTGTCCAGTCTGGTGGATCCTGTATTAATTAAACGAGTTTAAGGGAAACTTCATAAACTTACAAAAAGTAAAACAATTTATATTATTTAGAGAAAATATCTAATTGTACATACAGAATATCGACCCAAATTAGGCTTCTGTTTGCCTGCCAAAATTTTCAGAGCAGTTGATTTCCCAATTCCATTAGTTCCAACCAACCCTAATACTTCGCCAGGCCTTGGAATAGGCAGTCTATGCAGTTTAAATGAATTTTTTGAATAACGATGCGTTGTTTCTTTCTCTAAATTACTAGGAAGATTAATGATAGATATTGCCTCAAACGGACATTTCTGAAAATACAAATATATATATGTATATATATTGCACCCTCTGTTTGCTTATTATTAATTTAATATGATATTACATTGTGTTAGTCACTATATTTTATTTATATTAAAAAATTTTTTATCATACCTTGACACAAATACCACATCCAATACATAGTTCTTCAGATATTGATGCTATCTTACTATTTGGATTAACTTCTATACAGAGTTTCCCCATTCGTACTACCGGACAAGATCTTTTGCACTCTTGCCTACACCGTTTTGGTTTACATTTATCAGAATTGACAATAGCGATACGAGTCAACCGGTCGGTTTCCTCCATTGACTTTTTTGGTGGCATGATGGTAAAATATTTACCTGCCTGAAAATGTTATTGTAGAATTTAGATTTAACAGAGCAATTATTTAAAGTATATCGTAATGTTAAATTAAAATGTTGTATATGAAGTACTCTTCTTGAATATTAAATGCATAATACAAAATTTTTAAACAATATCTACTACAATCACGGTTAATCGCAAGCTATTAAACAAGAAATACAGAATTGATCGGAAAAGCCGTAATTGAAATATAACTTTGAAAGACACGTATTCAAACAATCTAAGCATAATGAAGTAATTGAACCTGTTCAATGCCTGTGGTAAATATCATTAAATAAACTACTTGAAAAATAATTCAACATATGTTCTACTTAGATTCTGTCCGTAAACAAATAACTTTTTTACATTTAGGGTATAAAATGAAAGACAGCAAATTAATGTCATACATATTATATAATAATTCCCATATATTTGCATTTAGTTAAAATATTTAAATACATGAAAATATACAATGCTTAGTTTTACCACGAGTTCCTAACCTCAAACAATTAATAATAAAATACTGATGTAACAATATTTTATAAACGCATCACATAATTAGTAAACGTAATCTTTTTTTTTCGAATGTGTATTATGCCGTTACTTCGTGGTATTTAATACAGATGTGCACAAACATATACCTGTCAAAACCAAAAACGTGGAGGAAACTCCTTTACAATTCTCACGAAGGAGCTTCCGCACTCGTATACCACCGCATGCCTCGACTTCAATCATAGACTATAAAAACCACAGAGACTACATATTCGATGCGAAGTGTGGCCTTTCAAATAAATTTTATATTACAACGATTACAACGTCTCCCTAACTAGCAAAAGTTTCGTCACTTACGATTTAATTTAAGCGAGTCAGATAATTTTCTGTAAAAATTTACATCATCGATTTAACTCTTAATTTAATTTAATTAAGAAAAAAGATAATAACAATAAAGCGATTTACAAACAAGCGAAATAGATAATTGTTGTCGTTCGCAAGTCGCGTTGTGTTTTATTTTTAAATAATTCCCATTAGATTTTTATTAATGATTTATTGTAACGGGGGAAAAAATGCTACACCGTACGAACTGAACGAAATTATTACAAATTGAACTTCTCGGGTGTTTCCAAAGATTGTTTGCGATATATGCACGCCACCTAGGTTGGTATGTCACATCTCATGAAGGATTATAAAGATTTGTTCTGAAGTTTTTAAGCATAGAGTACTAGGGATTGCTTTATATCTTCTGATTTTGTAGTGAGTACTGTCACTTTCGCCTTTTCGAGACTTTGGTCCTCGAGACTTCGACGACCCGTTACCGATGTACGCGAGCGGACATTAGCCTAACCGTATTTGGTTTCGAAGGTGTCGTATGACAGTTCTTGATGCGTCCTTTATTTCTACAATTTACTTAATTGACGCAGTGTCAGATATTAGTATGTTATAATGTTACGTGACATTTCAAATTTACTATTAGATATAAGATCTTTATGTTTATGTAGGACAATTTTTATAGAGGTGTACCACTTTGATAAATGGTCTCATATGTGTTTTTCTCTTTTTTCATTTCTTAACTTCTTGTCTAAAATCTGTTACCATTATTATTGTTACTGCTGCTACTACAAATATGCAGTTACTATATCTGTGTTTTATAGATTAACTTTCAGGAATGTTTTCATCAACTTTCAATTAAATTTGTTGAAATCTATTCTTCATGATATATTACATTGATGTCCTTCATAAGACTTATTTAAAATTTTTCTTTTATCTTGCGAGAAGTTCCGATTAATTTTCTCTTTTACACTTTTATGAAAAGAAAATATTAAATGTACTAATATACTTTTAATTTATGTTACGATATAGCTGTTGCACTGAGTGGAATGGAGCGAAGTATTCATGAAATGTTGAAAGATGCTCCATCTTTAAATGACAGCGATAGCGCAGTTCATAGCGGAACCCCTCCACCACATATACCGAATAATTGTAACAATGATAATCAACCTAGACCAGCTACGATAAATCTAACATTGGGTAGCCCTACATCTCAAATGTGTAAGTAAAATTTGTGCTAACGAAACATAATCTTAATCCCTTTATAAAAAACTTATTTTAATAAAGTATGTTTGTGTAATAGCTGTAACAGTATCTCCAAATACACCTATTCAGAACGGTGATACGCAAACAATGCGTACTGCTCAAAGTAAAATTGAGAGCATTAAAAATTGGAGTATTTCTACATACAAGTGTACAAGACAATTAATGTATGAAAAACTTGGGAAAACATCCCGCACGGTAGATTCGGGTAAGTTTACACGATTCAACTCCATTTACGTTTTATGTTTATTATATAATTATAATATCTTTTCATTTATAGAACTTGAAACACAAATTGAATTATTAAGAGATACTCAGAGAAAATATTGTAATGTTTTACGATTATCTAGAGCTTTAGCTTCTCATTTTCATCATGTTGTCCAAACACAACATGCTTTGGGAGAAGCATTTTCTGAGTTAGCACAGAAATCTCCAGAGTTACAAGAAGAGTTTCTATATAATTCAGAAACTCAAAGAAATTTGACTAAAAATGGTGAAACATTACTAGGGGCCTTAAATTTTTTCGTTTCTTCAGTAAATACACTTTGTAATAAAACTATTGAAGATACATTATTTACTGTACGACAGTACGAAACAGCAAGGTAATTGTTAATATCGAAATTTTTTAACAGATCAAATGTATTTTGTAAGTATCTATAAATAAAAGAGAGATTTACTTACAGAATAGAGTATGATGCCTATAGAACAGATCTTGAAGCGTTAGCACAAGTAACGAAAAACGATAGCAGCAATGCAGCAAGATTGGAAGCAGCACAAGCACATTATGAAGAACATAAACAAAATTTTGAGAAATTAAGATCAGACGTTTCAATTAAACTTAAATTTTTAGATGAAAACAGAGTATGTAATTATATTTAATTCTTTATAATATTGTACTTTGAAATACCATAAAATACCAAAATAATAACAATATTGTTATTTTTATTACAGATCAAAGTAATGCATAAACAATTGTTATTATTTCACAATGCAGTTTCTGCTTATTTTTCTGGAAATCAAACTGCACTGGAAGCCACATTGAAGCAATTTAACATAAAAGTTAAGTCACCAAATTCATCCTTGCCATCGTGGCTCGAACAGTAGTTACATTAGAAGAAATACAATTTTCGGAAAACACACACGTGAATAAAAAAATGCATTCGTCCATACGAATTTCTTCTTAAAGAAAACAACGGGAATAACAAGGTAGAACAACTCAAAAATTCTTGAAAAAGTGCTAAAAGACACTGCTGTCAAGTAACTTCGGTATCAATAATTTTTGGAACAAAAATTAGATTATCATCTAAAAACAGACTGAATTTTTTCTGAATTATGCTTTAAACACTGGCCAATATTCGTAACACATTATATGAATCTTAATTATATAATAATTATATGCAACAGTTTATATTAATTAATGACATCTGTTGAAAGATCTGATGAAGATTCTCTTTATTCAGTAGCAGTGCTTACAAAACTTTATGAGCAATAGATATTTAATTTTTATATTTGACTTCTTAGAGAAGTTTTAATGTAAATATATAAACTATCATGATATATTGAGCTTTGAATTTTATAGTATGTACAAAACAGTATTGATGATTTGTTTGCATTACATTTTGCACCAGATTAATGAGTATTTTATCTCTTTTAATATTTAGATCTGATGAATTAAACAAATTTACAGTTGGATGATTTAGTATTCCTCATTCCATTTTAAGTATTAAAAATATTGACTGAATTTTAATTTTGATTCTATTACAATTACAAATTAAAAATGTATTCCTTATTTACATTATATTTATGTTGTTAAATTTAACTTAATTAAAAAAAAAAAAACTTAAAAACAATTTTGTAAGAGTTTGAACATCTTCAAGTATGTAGGATATTCGAAAAAGATTATATCGAATGTTAACAATGTGCAATGCTAATTAAAATGAATGAAGAAATATAAATAATAGATGGCTTTTTATGTGATTTAATGAGCACTGTATGCCTGTGAGTTTGATACAGTCATTTTTGAATATTCTATATATCAAATGTTCAATATCTCTACATTTTAATTATTGTAACATGTAAATATTGACTTTATTTACAATCTTTTTATATGTACTAATTTTTATGTCCAAATCAATAATTTTGATAAGAATAGGAACAAATCACATGCTTACAATTAGCCTAATCATATTTCTAAATTAATTATTTTCTATGTACAATTAATATTTGTACAAAACTGTTTTTAATTGCTTAATTTATTTTTAAATTATATTATCAATTTGCATGTCAGATTTATAACAGAAATATAGATTGCTACAGAATAAGTAACTTTTGTGTCCTTAAACATAAAACATATTATCATAAGATGTGAAAGATAATATGTGAAAATGTTTGAATTTCAGTATAGAAAATATAAGTTTATTTAAATTTATATAGATACCATAGTATTGGTTAAAAAGAAGAATTAATTTTGACTAATACGTTTAAAAAAACGGAAAACTGTTGCAAAAACAGATTTAAACTAGTCATATTTTATAAGTGAATATTTAAAAATCAAATAAATTGTGTGAAATTATGACTTATATACTTTCATATACATTGACATTATTTATACAAATATTTCTTTTGAAGCAGCAATACATATTATGTATATTGAAACATTATAAATTATTGCGCTTCATAAATAGGAAAATTTTTAGTTATAATAGATAAGATATAAATGTATGTATATTGTCATTATCGTTTGTTGCTTATACTCAGAGTTTACACTGACATTGATAATAACTTAAAGCATAAAATTGAATCTATTAATATTATGACATCATCGATGCATCTTATCATATGTTTTAAACTAATCCTTCCAATGTGATCATAATACAATAAATTTTTGTATATACATATGATAATATGTATGAGTGAATTGCACATTGAATAAATGTAGAATTCACTTTTAAAATTTTTGCGAATTATCATCATTATAAATCTACATTTGTGTATAAAGCAAAAATTATGATCCATACTATAATAATAATACTTTATTTTTTTACACAATGCAGATTGACTTAATATATAATTTCAGAAGATTATTACATTTTTTAAAATATTTTATTATTATTCTATAGAAAATACATTCCATTACTTAACAGGTTTTTTAGGAATGTTTAGACCAATAAAAAGAAACACTGTAATTAAATAAAAATAAAATCTTATATTTATTAAGTAGGAATAAGAAATAACTTGAAATATGCAGTTGAAAAATGTTTTAATTTACAAAATATATTGTAGCTATATTATGTTCCTAATCATGATGTTATTGTGTGTATATTATGTGTATACAAACTCCAAACAATAAATGAATGCTTATACATCTTGCTTTGTATAGAGTTTTTATTAATTACTAGCATCATTTTTATCAAGATAGTAATTGCAGTATTTTATATTTATTATTTCCATAAAATATATATACATATATACATGTGTTTTGTAATATATTAACAACACATTAAATAATAAGAAGTAACACTAAATACACATTGATTATATAATTTGTAATATAATTAGTTTAGTTACAAAAAAGTATATCTTTAATAGGAGACTTAATTAATTTAAGGAGTCAACTACCTAGTGTTTTCTTTGTTCTGTTCTTCTTGTGTTTCTTCTAAAGCTTTGATCTGTTTTTGATATTCTTCCATACTTCTGCGAGCAATAACAGGTTGAACTTCCATAAATACTTCCATTATTTTGTGATTTGCATGAATGTGTTTGCCCGAACAGTTTTCTACGCATTGAAGCTACATCAAATTTATACTTTTTAATACACTAAACTCGATGAGTATAAAAATATACATGTATAAATATATATAAGTAAAATTAAGAAAATACTTTAAATTGTAACAAATATACCTCTTCTGTAGAAACGTCTCTTGACATAAACGTACTCACGCACGTTTTAAAACACATTTCAGACATCTGATTGAACAAAAGTTGAAAATCCTTCATCTATAAAAAATACAATACAAAAATGTAATTTCATCGGTCTTTGAAATACAACAGACGAGACAGGTTATGAATAAATAATCAATTATTAAATATAAATGAGTAACAACTACGTACATTTCTAATAACTAAAGCGTCCATATTTAAGTTATCTACTTTGTTTCTCAACTTGAATAACAAATTTACAGTTACGATATTTGCCGGTTTCACTATTTTGCAGGTTATGTCACGTGAGCGTACTTTAAATCAATATCGATAACTTGAATATCGAGAATATGTTTCGATCGATGTTATTAAATAAAAAATCATATATCAGTAATTTTAATCGAAAAATTATTAATTAATGAAATAACTTTTATGATCTTTCGTGATCCTTTTTGGAATTCATCAACGACTGATACTTTACTGCATTTATGCGTTGCATTATTAAGATATAATGAAATTACTTGTAAAACTGTTAAGCAAATTAAGTGTTTTCACTTTTGCTTATAAGATTAGTTGAAAGTAAAAATAATGGCTTTAAGGCATAATTTATGTTTCTGCTCGTAAGAAAATTGGGTTTACTACATTTAATGCACTCGATATACACTCGTTATTTGAAACTTGTAACATAACGTGTACTGTTATTTTGTAATATTTCTCTGATAATGCTATTTCTCCGGGATATCATTTCTCTCGCCGTAAATTAAAAATTTATATAATTAATTGATTAAAGGACAAACGATACGAGCGGAAAATTTAATAACACGAAATGAAAGAATGGCAAACACGGACCAAAAGATAAACGATAGTGAAGGAAGATTCCACGGGTTTATAAACGAAGATTTATTAACGTAATTCGAAAAATAATAATTCGTACGCGTCGACGTCGACCAAAAAAGAAAAAAAAAGAAATAGACGATAGTAATAGAGTAAAGAAAAAGTTTCCACGAGTTAACGAAGATTTATCAACTTTTTGCTCGAAAAAGAGAGATAACAATTCGTACGCATTGACGTCGAGGAAAAGCGCGCTTTCGTCGGCGCGATTCGGCAACGTTCGGGAGTGTTCGGGCCCGAGTGAGTCGCGATTGGTGGATGATCGGTCGCGGGTTCCGAATCAGCGAAACGTGAATCAGTTGGCGTTGACGGGGCAAGGAAGCGAGAACTGTTTCGACTGGAAGAGGTGTCCGTGAACGAGAAATTTGTCGGTGCGAGTCGCGCCGGTGAATGAGGCGGACTAGCTGTTACGTGCGATGGCCGCGTGCTACAGCGAGCAGGCATCGTCGAGCTCGGGAAACGTAACGAAGAAGTCACCTGCGGCCGCGGCGAAGCCGATCTGCTGGCAACACAGACTGTTCGGTAAACAATTGTCGCGGTGCAGTCAGGTTAATCAGCAGGACACGAAGCCTTGCGACGCGAGTGGCACGCTCGTCGACGAGGACGGCCGGCCGGTTTGTGAAGTGATCGGTGTTTACTTTAGTTTCATTAATCCCGGTGCTACTTGCGATGACTTTACGCGTCAGCTGCTCGACTTGTACACCAATGTCAACTCGTCGTCGTCGGCGCACATGGAAAACGACCGGGACGCGGAGAATTCCACCAGGGGCAGAGAAAGGAGGAAAAAGTTCGAGGTCATGCACGTGGTTCTTTGGAGTAACGTAGCCGACGTCCTCGACTTCGAAGAGAGTTTCCGTGCACATGTCTCCGAGTTGCCCTGGTTGGCTGTACCGAACCTCGACTACGAGAGGAAGGTAAACCGCGTCTTCCCTTCGTTCTTTGACGTTTTCCTGTTTGCTAGCTGCTTTATTATTTTTTTTTCAGCTTTTCTGTATCTTTGTTGGATAGAATTATCCTGTTCTGTTTAATAATCAACATTGCCAAATCTTTTGTCATTGATTGCAAAGTCACACAACCACGCGTGAGTTTCAGTTAAGTTCAATTACACAAGCTGATAGCTCGTTGAAAATAAAAAGAAGTACGTTTTTGTAAAGTTCGAGGCAACAATGTCAATGGTTTTCCACATGTCAACGACGACAGTTTTCCCATCATGCCAGCACTTGGCAATTTTTTGCGAGTTCTACGCAGCCCGACAGGCTACGATCAATTGAAACGAGCGTGTATCATTTGAAATTTGTATACATCTGTCTTTCATAAAGTCACACATGTATACACGCACATGCACGCTTGTGCGTGCGTGTGTGTGTGTGTACACAGGAGGAGGCACACATGCCGTTATGCAGAAGGACCGAGCGCGCAGCGCCTTTTTTATTCCCAACGGGTGTTTTAACCCCTCGCCAGACGTGCTATTTAGGGTCCGATTTTATTTGCACCGACACACGATGCCGAGTCGACTTTTTCTAACTGAAAAAAAAAAACCGTTCGTATAATATTTTCCGCAAAATACCTGCTCCCCCAGAGCGTGTTGCTGCGTGTTCTTCAATCAAGATCAAACGCGTTTTTTTTCAATCGATGTTAATACTCGTTTCTAGCAAATTGTTTTTACCTTTGCTGTACCATTCTTATCTTTTTTTTTTTTTTTAAAGTATGAACTTGACTTTATATCCAAGTAATGGATGAAAAAGACAATACTAGAAATCCAAAAGTTGGCAAAAACTAACGCCAATTGAAACAACGATTTTGCCCTGGAATTTCAAATCGGACAGTTTCTTTGAAAAAGAAAGTTCACGATTGACAGCGTTACCGATTGAAAACAAATGAAACAGCAAATCGAAACTCGCACAAGAATGTGACTGAGTTGCGAATTAAAAAGCAGACGTTCGTACATTGATCTTTTCGTCACCCACGCACCTCGATGACGCACGTATGCGTGTCTCTTGTCTCGAAAGTTGGAGCGACACTGCGTAACGTTACAACACTTTGCGCACGCATAGTGGATACTCGATTCCCCCCAACTTAACGAGACTCTACTGTCGCGTCGAAACAACGAAGCGAGAAGAATAGAGACGAGAAAGGAGAAAGAATCGAGGAAAGAAAGTAACCACCCCGTGGTTCTTTGCACGGTGCTTTAACGCAGCAGCGGTTTACGTCGGCCAGTTTGTACTCGTGTACTAGAGATGTCTCGAAATTACTACGTACGATAGTTGTATACTTGTTGGATACGTTTTAACAGCATGTGAACGTAACAGACGATCTGACTTTTTTTTTCTTTTTTTTTCCACGATCATTAGTCAAGCCACTCGGAGTCGTTGATGTTTGCAATACATATACATGTACCTGTACCCTATAGTATATGTTATGTATATACATATACATACACTCGACAGTCTGATTCGCGAGTAAATGTAACGATAAGCATCCTGCGCAATTAGCGTCAAGTAGCCTCGTGATTCCTCCTTGCTCGTTATTCCGCCTATCCGCCTGATCCACGTTGGAAATCACCCCCTTGAAATCGCAGGTTCTTTGTGTACAGTTCCATTCATTTAACAATGAGAAGAGCAACTTTCCGGAAGGTTCCGGAACCTGCTGTCGCAACGAAACGAAACGAAACGAAACGAAACAAGAGAAAGAAACGATCGGATTTTCCTCCCCTCCTCCTCTTCGTCCCTGTTTCTCTACGTTCCCCCAACTCGCGTTGAAAAGTAAATAGAGGAACGGAGGAATCCGGATTTGTTGATGGTCAACAGCCTACAAACAACCACGCGCGACCTAAGTAAATTTTCAACCCGGCTCATCTTTGTTCAAAATAAAAGCAAAAGGAAGAACATAGAACGACCATAGTTTGTTGGAGAGACTTAGCAGAACGTATTCGACAGAGATTATGGTTTAAAACGCGTTCTATCGCCACCCCATTGTTCCCAAGCCCCTGTGCATCGTTAATGCAGTCGGTATTGATTTCTGGTGGTGGCCTAGGCTGTCTCTTTGCGCGATTCTTTAAGAAGAGAGGAGGAACACGAGTACCTGAGGATTGTGTCCAGTTTCTTAAACAAAATTAAACGGTTGATGGCACAATAGTCGCTCCACCAATTCTTAGAATTGAGATTATTTCACTCTACGCTACCTTACCTTACCGACCTGCACAAAGGCCGCGTGACAGTTGTACAATACAAACCAAGCGATATCCAATACCGATATTTCGGCATAATTCGCAAAATACACCTGCCCAACTGCGGACCTCTCGTGCTGGAATGACGTGCTACGCACGTCGAGAATATTTGGCCCAAAATTGTAATATTTTCTCAGTTTTCAGTATATTTAAGTAAAACAAATAATAAATTTATTGCTTCTCAATAATTTCTATCCAGTGGTATCATACCGACGAGTTTAAAAGAAAAAGAAAGTATAATTATTGTATACGGTTTGGTCACTCGTTATGGTCCGCAATTAGTTGCCAGCGCAAATTGTTAACCTCTTGCGCTGGAATGACGTGTCACGCACGTTGAGAAATTTTCATCAAAAAATTGCTATATTTTCTTAGTTTTAAGTATATTGAAATATAATCCAGGCAAAACGAATAATAAATTTATTACTTCTTAGTAATTTCTATCCAGTAATATACCGATGAATTCAAAAAAGAAGACGAATTATTGTACACGGTTGGTCACTCGTTATGGTCCGTTATTAGCGCAAGAGGTTAAGCTGGAGCACTACTGTACATATCAAGGAAACGACCACTGAGTGTCTCCGGCTGCTTCGAGCAGCTAGACTGGATAATAGAGGCGCGCTGCTCATCGTTTGTACGACGTAAACCGCTTCATAAAGGATACACGGTCCGGCTTTGCCCCGGACCGGGGAAGCCGACCTGAGAAAGAGAAGTGTAGCCGGCCGGGGCCAGCCTTTGCATTCGGGGTGGCCGACCCATATCTTCCGCAAATAGCTTTCTCATTCGACCGGCGAGATCAAGAAAGCGACGAAAGGTAGCGAGCCAAAGGGAGAGAGAAAACACGTGTTTACGTTTCGGCCTCAGCATCGCGCGGAGAGAGAAAGGGCGATTCGGTGGCGATGCACAGTCTCTTCACTCCTCCCCTCTGGCGCGAGAACGACTGAAACACACACAGCAGAGAAGGGAAAAAAGAGAACCGGGAGAGAAACGTTGAAATCTAGATGGACTTTGAGCCTGAGTTTCGTATACGGAGAGTGGGCCCGTACGCGGCGCTGTATAACCCTTCTCCATGTCCCCCCCCCCCCCCCCCCCCCCCCCCCCCC